CAGTTTAATGATCAACAACTTTACAACTGTCTTCTTTCAGCAGAAGAAAAAAACTACGGGGAAATATGGTGACTAATATTTACACATATTTAGTTTGCTTTTATTATAACCACTGCAAGCAGTTTTATTGTATCTGCTTTATTATAAAAAGATGCTTCCTCTATATTTTCCTTAATAAACACCACCATGCACAAGCTGAGGGCTGGCGAATAATGTTTCCAACTGCAAGCAACTATTTCCAGATCTGCCCTTGTGTTGTGCACATTCTGCATCACTCTGAGACACTTCACAAACAGCTACTAAATAAGTTGATTCAAGCTGCGCCTCTGTGACAGAAAAACAAGTGTTTCCCCCTCTCTCCCCTCACACAGAAGTGTTTGCCAAGTCAGAATCAATTCGAAGACTGAAATACAAAAAAAGAAGGCATGTCGGAAAAAAAAAGCATTTCCACATGAAACTGCATGTGGATCCAAAAAAAGCTCTTAAAATGGATTTCATGGCCCATCGGGCAAGACATATAGCAGTGAATACAATAGAAAACCCTGAAGAAATGCTGTTCGCTGCCAGACGCAAACCACAAGGAGGGATATGTGACTGCAAACAGAACCTGAATGTTAAAAACAGCCCAGCCGCAAAGCTCTTTGCAGTGATAAATCTTCAATCCTAGAATTAATAAGGCAGACCATGCATGTTTCTGCTGATGCGTTACTTTGCCATATTCAGTATTTTTCCTTTTCGATTGGAGATGATGTCATCCTTGCTGCGAGTCATGAGGCGTGACAAAACATTTTCGATCTTCAAAGTAAAAGTTTCATATAGGGCTGGGCGATTAATTGAGAAGTAATCAAAATTGAAATTCAGAATCTATAATAATAGAGGGGGGACCCCCCTAATTACGCTTGATACCCCCTGAGAGAGAAAGAGAGAGAGAGAGAGAGAGAGAGAGAATATATGTATTATGTATAATGTATATACCCTACACACCATAAGAAATGGTTAATGTAAACTCATGCATCTTATTTAAATAATTTAAACTTTTTATTATTATTATATTTATCAAATGTATTTTTTTTTGTGGTTTTTTTGTGTCATTATATCTTATCTGTATTGCTATTCATTTTTCAATGGTTTTAATGTTTCATATTTGAAGTGCTTTGGCAATACTGTACTTAATGTCATGCCAATAAAGCAACTTGAACAACTTGAGAGAAAGAGAGAGAGAGAGAGAGAGAGAGAGAGAGAGAGAGAGAGAGAGAGAGAGAGAGAGAGAGAGAGAGAGAGAATTGAGTTTATTGCCATTTCAGCTTCTTTGGCTATGCCATGGCAAAAAAAAAAAAAAGTCTTAAAAGTCATCAACAGCAATAAATAATACACAAATACATAAATAATAATAATAATAATAATAATAATAATAATAATAATATACAAGATAAAAATCCAAAACAGTTTTTAGGGTTTACTTTTGATAATTTTTTACAATTTTATAAGGATTCACATTGAAAAATATTCTATTTAAAATCTCTCCAGATAAAAATTGTCGCTTTCAGTCGTCTGATAACATTAAAAATAGGGCATTCCCTTTAATAGTTCAGAAATAGTTTGTTCTCATCCGTATCTTAAATGATATTAATAATTAAAATGATAGAAAACTTAAACATATATTGTATCACCCCTGTAATGGTCCATACCATTGTGAATGCATGTTGGCGCCAAAAAATATTAATTCAGGGGTTCGAAACCGGCAAATCTAGAGCGCCAACAGACAGAGTAAGTGTTCACAAAACATGTTTCTTTTAAAATAGGCATTTGTGCTGTAGGTGTCTGTGAAACTAGATGCATAGTTTGTATTTTATTATACACTTGCTAGCACATAAAAGTTAAACAGTAAAATAAAAATGATGTGCAGTCTTTCATTATCTTCCATTATTAGGTGAAGGAAAGCAAACCGGTCACTGTTGATTTAATTTCACAAATGCCATTGAGAACCACTCAATATCCCTCAAAACACTGAAAACATAATAACAAGTTTGATTAATAAACTAGATGTAATTGAATTAAATATTTCAATTTGGTTCACTGAGGCAACAATCAAAAAACCTGATCATCAATGTATAATTCGCACCCTGACCACAGCACCAATAAAGCACTTGTGCTGATCCAAACGACCCTGCAAAATGAGATTTCGGAATAAACATGTAAAACAAAAGAGCCCTGAGGGGAAATGGGCCCCTGATCTAAACCACTCAATCTTTTTTAATCAAGACACTAACTCAAGACATGAAAACAACCTACTCTATACTGCTAGAGGCCTCTCTCTCCGTCTCTCTGTGTATGCGTGAGTGCAGTATAACAAGACTAAATGAGCAAGCAGGATGTTTCTCCCTGAGGTTCGGTCTCCAAAGCCGGACTGTAGATTCACACTCTCTGCTAATGCAAACACAGTTAATTGAGGTAAAGGTGGTTTTATATTCGCACATTTGCACTCTCTCATTAGTAATATAATTTCACCAAAATATTTTTTGCTAATTCTAAATAATGAACTCATGTATGTAGCAGCCAATGACTATAAAAGCACTGCTCACAGTCAACTAAAGTTAATGTATGGAGTCAATCTAGGGCCATATATACTTGCAAAATACAATACAAAAAGAAACTTAATTATGAATGCAAATCTCCAAAAATAGCAAAGGGAAAATGACGTTTTGAAAAAAAAATTTAATTTGCAAACAAAAAAAACAAACAAACAAGCAAAACAAGTAAAATCAGTCAAGCAGTGCATTAATGGCAGGCCCAGACCTGCCTCCATTTATGCGACATCATCACCTGGAGACACAGCGTCACCGAGGGGGTCTTAGGCCTGATTCCTACTTTTGCCTGGCACCGCGTCGCAGACCTCGTAAAACAGACGAGGCTTTACTTGACGCAATCGCCTATGTGATATTCTTTAAAATGAAAGGGGGCAGTCAAAAGAAATGGAGCGTTAAATCAGACAGATAAACAGAAAAGTCTGAAGTTTTCGAAACTACGCCATATCATTAGTACTATTAAAGATTTTTTTAACTAATCATTTTTATAAAAATTAATGATAAGGATTTTTATAACCTTTCAAGATCTTTTTTAAATCAAATTTGCTGTGTCACTTGCTTTTGTTCATATCTCAGACAGTTTTACCTATAAAAGTTTATTAAAATATTAGTGATAACAGAACATGGGTTGCTCAACAAATATATATTTTTATATAGGAAAAAAAAGCACACTTACTCAAAAATACAGATGTTTTTAGCTTTGATTTAGTCCACTCCACAATAGACACATTACTGTCTGGCAGGTTTAAGCACTCTTCTTATGCTAAAAAGGCAATAATGGTCAAACATTCCCGACCATCACCACCAGTAAAGCCTAGATAAAAAGGGCATCAATATATTTTGAACCGATAGGTTCCTTTTCAGTTATCATAAAAATAATTTGTTTTTTTAATTATAGTTCTTTAACTAATAAATTGTTTTAAATTAAAAACCACAATATTTACATCAGTGTCAAACCTATGATTGGTAGAAAAACATATTCTGTAATTGTGTATTAAACCACTCTGGGCTCCACTTTTGCCATGGCCTCTTTTGGCAACTGATCTCTCAAGTTTTTCCAAACTTCTTAACAAAAACGTTCCTCCTTTCCCACGGCTGTTGCAATTTCTAGCCAAGAATTATTGTTCATCTGGTTATCCCTATGATCACACATTGACGGATCATAAAGATGTCTGCACAGGCGTACCTGTTTCAGACAAAATCTCTTAAAAGTGATTCATATCCAACTCAAAAAAAAAAAATGAAGTGCTTAACCGCGCTTAACATGCAGAAACGTGAAGTGTAAAGTGAAAACAGCATCGAAAAATGAGCATTGCAATTGACCGGATAGGTTTTGTAAAGACAATCCTATAAAAATGTTTTGCAAATATATATAGTTTATTGCAATTTTTTTTTTGCACTGCTTGAATTTTATAACAAATTTCATTTTTATTTATCAAAATTTAATTTCCCCTTTGCAGCCCTTTCATTTTGTTAGCAAAATTCATTTTTATTTTTCAACATTTTTTCGGAGATTTGCCATTTTCTTTTGCTCAATACTTTATTTTGGTTTGCAAAACTCAATTTTATTTTGCAAATATTTATGGCCCAAGAATGACTCCAAACAAATGTTTTAAAGTGATTTCAGAGCGAATATTCAAAGTACCATGTTAAACAAGCTAGGGAGCATTTCACAGTCACTGAACCAATGTGCAAATATAAAACCAAACTTTTCCTCAATACACAGCAAGGGGCCTCACAGACTTAATGAATAGACAGTCTTTCACAAAAGACACTCATCTGAGAAAGTGCATCACTAAAAAACACAAAACAACTGCAGAGTGTGTTTTCCTTAAGTAAAAAACACATTTCAGTCAGAGAACCATTCAAATCATACACAGGCCACAACTTTTCCCTCATCCCCCAGTTGTTTACAGGTTTCCCTCAGCAGCTCAAACTGATCAGGTCAGTTTTTGATTAAAAGCACTGAATGGCACCAGGGTGCCCCCTCATCTGTATCAAAGCCGTGATGCTGAATACGTGACCGTGCATTGAGCATCACAGACGGGGGGGATTTAAAGCAACATCCCCCCTTCGTATATTTATACCGCTGCACAAGAAGAAAAACAACCCCAAGCACGTACACACACCCCTCTACCGTCGAATGAACTTCAGCAACAGCACAGACAATCTTTAGTGATAAACAAAACAGCCCTGACCGATTGTTTGATGATGTCATGCGCCTCTTAACACGGAGCAAACAAACATTCGGATAAAAAAAGCAAGGTAAAGGAGCGCTGGAAGTGCATCTGCCTCTCGTACGAGGTGCGTAGCGGTAAGCTAACGCAATTCCCACAAACATTATCCAGAAAGACACTGAAATGACAGCGGACACAAGTTGAACACAACGCGAACTTGATTCGAGAAGCCACTTACCTCGTTTTGGAGGGCAGAAAGGCTAGTTTGATTAATCCGTGAGTGCAAATCTGGATGCCCTCCTTGGCTATACTTGCTACTTTTAAACTGTGCTCTAAAATGTGCAGTTCCATCTTTTGCGTCTTCTCATTTGTGGTACATCTAAAAAAACATACCTGCCTATTTCGTTTGCATTTAAAAAAAAGAAGAGAGAGAGAGAGAATAAATAAATAAATAAATAACTGGAGCGTATGGACGGGGCTTTAAAACCTTCAAAACGGAGCGGAAAGGAGGGGAGAGAAAAGGAAAAGTTGTCTGCCGAGGAAAAGAGAGAAAGAGAGTAAAGCGGGGTGAAATAAAAGAAAGCACAACGAGGTAAACGGGAAGGGAGAAAAAAAGAGGACTGTCGGCCCCCGTGTTTCCACTCCGACAAGGATTGGAATGGGCCAGCAGCTGGTAACAGTGAAACAAACAACCTGTCACTCAAAAAAGGAGGCGGGCCTAATTATGCAAGAAGTGCATGTTGGGAAATGTAGTTAAGGGCTACAGTGTTCCTCGATGCATTTGTCAAATACAGCCATAGTTCATGGGTTTTTAAATGATGTTTGTTTTTCGAACTCTAAATATATTTAGACATTTCGGTGATGTTGCTGACTGAAATTAAGAGGTAATACGGTCTTGGAAAACTTGTCCTACAGGAACAGGCCCTATGTGGGAAACGATCTTCCTCAAGCCCAGAGAGTATACTTACCTGCTCATTACGAGGTAAAATAACGACGTCACCTATCAAAATTATTACCCAAAAAATATAGTTTTAGGGTTTTCTTACTGGACCAGGGGTTCTGCAGGTTTCAAAGAGTTAAATTTAGGACTTTTTATTTGTGTATAAAAAATATTCTAATTTAATATTATTTTAATATAATACATTAATAATAAAAAAATATGTATATTTTAGATAGTATTTCTTAGTTAAATATTTTAAATATTGTGTAAAAGACAAACAAGCTCTACTTGTATCCATACTTTTTTCCAACATAAACTTTCTTTTAAATACTTACTTTCAAATAAAAAATGAACAAATGTTTTAAAAGTTTTTAAAAACTATAATAAACTAAATACATGCACACCAATCTGTCCAGGAGGGAAACATCCATTTACACTTATTCACACACATACACTATGGACAATTTAGCATGGAGCACCCATGTGGAGACCCACTGGAATGCAGGGAGAACATGCAAACTCCACGCAGAAATGCCAACTGACCCAGCCGAGGCTCAAACCAGTGACCTTCTTGGTGTTAGGCGATTGAGCTACCCACTGCGATACCGTGATGCCTAAATTTAGTATCCTTCAACTTGATTTGTTTAAAATCAGCCCATATAAATTGTTTGCAATTATTTTCCTAAAAAAAAAATTGTACATGCAACGAATCATTTAGGCTCCTGTGATTATCACAATCGTTTTACAAGCGGAAGGTCTTCTGTTAGAAACATCCAAATTTGCTTTAGGGTGTCACAGTGGCGCTTTTTTTTTTAGCACGATCACCTCACAGCAAGAAGGTCGCCGGTTTGAGCCTCGGCTGGTTCAGTTGGTTTTTCTGTGTGAAGTTTGCATATTCTCCAGGTGTTCGCGTGGGTTCCCCCCAGTCCAAAAACATGCACTATAGGTGAATTGGGTAAGCTTAATTGTCCGTATTGTATGTGTGTGAATGAGTATGTATGAATGTTTCCCAGACATGGGTTGCAGCTGGAAGGGCATCCACTGCATGAAACATATGCTGGATAAATTGGTGGTTCATTCTGCTGTGTGACTAATTAATAAAGATTAATAAAGGGACTAAGCTGAAAAGAAAACGGATGAATGACTTTTTTCATTGTACTTACATGAACTGTGACTTTTCCCTGTATTTGTGACCCAGGTACAGGATCTATACAAGAAACTGAAGCGACACAACTAATGTTGTCATGTGATAATGATAAAAATCTGGATGTGTATGCCCAAATTTAACTAATTTAATTCTACCCAGATTTACACTAAATACAACATTTCTTACTGCACTGCAGTAGGTTCAAATTCATATATCAGGGTGTCTGAGGGGTCTTAAAAAGTCTTAAATTCACAGAAATATGATGTAGGTCTTTAATCATTTTAAACAGGTCTGCTTTTTTCTATATTCATGTAAAGCTCGCCAGTCTGGCCAACACACATCCATCTCAAAATTTTAACAAATATTTTATTCATTAACTCTGTTCAAAAAAATATGGTTAAATTATCTTCCTTACCATAACAATTGTTTTAATGGTTTAAAAAAACTGTTTTAACTGGGCCATTAGAAAAAATCTTTAGTGTTTAGCCTTGTGCAAGTCAAAAATTTCATTCATAATGGTATAAAAAAAGTCATAAAATCGACTTGAGACCCTGATATATGCTACCTACTCAGAATTGCTGCGATTTCTTTACAAAGTTTCACCTACAAATACTGGTCTTGCATACACATTTAGTTTTTTTGTGATTGAGGGACAGTGTGACAATGTTATTGACTGTACTTAAACACACAGAAAAAGCTCTTGTACTTTCAGAGATGATTTGCACTCTAATATTTTCCAGTTTTCTACATTGAGGGAGTGTGCAAATTTAGATGATTTACCCCACTCTTTCCCCCAACTACGATGTTTTCTTAAGTCTGAACTAAATCACGCTAATCATTAACTGTAAAAGATGAGATGGTCAATATCAAACCATTCAATGCTGATCTAAACCCCCCACCCCCCCAAACAAACAGTAGGTGTTTTTGTTTTTACCAGATTGAAGATAAGATGTGTAATGAAATCAACATTTATTTGTTAATTTGTGTTGATTAAATTATCAAAAGTACACTGTTTCCCAGTTAAAGATGTAAACCTTTTTAAAAAAATAAAGCAGTAAATTATTTAAAACAAGATGTGTTCTATACATGGGTCTAATATACATAATTATATGCCGAATTAATTTACCAGTCCAGTCTGGAGTGTATCAATCAATACAAGAAGCCAGAAGTTTAATAATTCACGAGTGTAGTCTATTGGTAACCAGGGCCCAGTGCTGCAGTGTCATAAAACAACAAGCATTCTTTGTGTGCAGCTGTGATAAGATCCCTGGGACACTCTGATCTCTCATAGGGACATGCATTGTTCAGTTCAAAGGATGGCGCTCATCTTTAGACAATATTCCTTTCAGTGTCACCACTCAAAATGTATTGAGCGGTAAGCTTTTGACTTCTCTCTAGAAAATGGATGGTCTTTTAAAATGTCATGTTTACACTCACATTTAAAGTCATATTGTTTGACTGTCTTTTTAATGACTACAATGCATGTCCTGCAGTGGCCGAGAGAGCTTTAACGTGCTGTAATTTAAGGAAACAAGTGCAATTACAAAAATAAACGCCAGCAAATTAAGAAAAGATCTTCATCAATTTGATAGCATTCTCACAACGCAAACAATTTACGGGAACATGCAGCATTCTCATGACACAAACAATTTACAAGAACGCGCTGCGTTTTCTCACAACTCAAACAATTTACAGAAAAAGCACTGCATTTTCTCACAACGCAAACAATTTACGGAAACGAGCTGCATTCTCACAACGCAAACAATTTACGGAAACAGGCTGCATTCTTACAACGCAAACAATTTACGGAAACGAGCTGCATTCTCACAACGCAAACAATTTACGGAAACGAGCTGCATTCTCACAACGCAAACAATTTACGGAAACGAGCTGCATTCTCACAACGCAAACAATTTACGGAAACGAGCTGCATTCTCACAACGCAAACAATTTACGGAAACGAGCTGCAAGTAATGTAATGTAATGTATTTTTTATTTAGTGCCATGTCAGCAACCAAGGCTATCTTCATGGCAGGAATCTTTCAACAATAAATATACAATTTAAAAATCAACAAACAAAATAAAACATAAATTAAATAAGATTTTTTGTGTTAATACATGATAAAAATTCTAAAATCTTTTCTGGTTCCACTTTGTCAAAAATGTCCTTAAAAGAGTTAATTTCATAAAAAGTCCTTCTGGAATCAGTAAAAGCAGGACAGTCCAGTAAAATATGTTTTACAGTAATAGGAGTTTTGCAGCACAAACACTGAGTGGGGTTTTCACCTTGGAGCAAAAAACCATGTGTAATTCTCGTATGCCCAATACGGCATCTGGTAAAAACTACTTGATCAAATCGATTCTTAAAATGTCTTAAAATTCTGTGTGAAACTTCAGGTTGGATTTCATGTAGTTTATTGTTTTCTAATGCATCCCATTCCTTTTGCCACTTGTTTAAAATGTAAGCGTTGATAAAAGGTTTCATCTCTGACGGAGGAATTTGGCATTTGTTCGAAACGAGCTGCATTCTCACAACGCAAACAATTTACGGAAACGAGCTGCATTTCCTCACAACGCAAACAATTTACGGAAACGAGCTGCATTTCCTCACAACGCAAACAATTTATGGAAACGAGCTGCATTTCCTCACAACGCAAACAATTTACGGAAATGAGCTGCATTTCCTCACAACGCAAACAATTTACGGAAACGAGCTGCATTTCCTCACAACGCAAACAATTTACGGAAACGAGCTGCATTCTCACAACGCAAACAATTTACAGAAAAAGCACTGCATTTTCTCACAACGCAAACAATTTACGGAAACGAGCTGCATTCTCACAACGCAAACAATTTACGGAAACGAGCTGCATTCTCACAACGCAAACAATTTACGGAAACGAGCTGCATTCTCACAACGCAAACAATTTACGGAAACGAGCTGCATTTCCTCACAACGCAAACAATTTACGGAAACGAGCTGCATTTCCTCACAACGCAAACAATTTACGGAAACGAGCTGCATTCTCACAACGCAAACAATTTACAGAAACAAGCTGCATTCTCACAACGCAAACAATTTATGGAAACATGCTGCATTCTCATAACAAAAAAAATTTATGAAAACGTGTTTTCTTACAAAGCTAAATTTATAAAAACACGTTGCGTTTTCTCATAACGCAAGCAATTTACAGAAAAGCACTACATTTTCTCACAACACAAACAATTTACGGAAACGCTGCATTCTCATAACACAAACAATTTACAAAAACGTGTTGCATTTTCTCACAACGCAAAATTTATAAAAATGCTTTGTTTTTTCTCATAACGCAAACGATTTACGGAAACGCACTACATTTTCACAACGAAAACACACTGCATTCTCACAATGCAAACAATTTACGGCAACACTCTGCATTCTCATAACAATTTACGAAAACGCGCTGCATTTTCTCACAACACAAACAATTTAAGTAAACGCGCTGCAATCTCTCACAACGCAAATATTTTACGAAAAAGCACTAAATATGAAGTTAATTTGGATGTTAAGAGACTACATTTACATTGCCAAACAAATATGCCTATGCACACACAAAAAATATTTTGCTTCTTGTTCAAACCATGTAGAAGGAGCTGAATCAATAATTCTTGAGTTTTCTGGAACATAATTGTTTTAGGTTTAATCCACTTAACTTTGTAAAACAATTGAAGTTAACTTAATCACTTTGAGTTGGGACAATATGAATGAATTGTGTGGAACCCAGCATTTAGCGTATGCCAGTAATGCACTGATAAAAAGCTTCACATGATTAAATTATCTCAGGAATTGATTTAACGTCATTGAAGACAGGCAAAAAAAGAAGCTTTGATTGTTTGCTGATTGACTTTAATGATCCATGAATACCAAAGGCTTCTTGAAAGCCTATTTAAACCTGGGTGGAAATTAATGGAGCTGAGATTTAAAGGAATAAAATGCATAATGAGCATTGTTTAGGTCAAACAGACTTATCACTCCTGACCAGACACCTGATAAACCAACGACCAGCTGAAAACTACAGACATCCCCACGGAGTGCAGACAAACCAATAGAACATTCAAGCACTCACAAATAAAGGCTTAGTACACACTCCAAGGCAGCAGAAGTGGTGCACTAAAAGCTGTGTTCTGCAGAGCGAATCCTTTAATCTGAACCCCATGACCCACGTGAAGCCCTGAGAACCAATCTCCTGCCAGCATGACACAGGCTATGAGGCTTTGAGACTTCAAATCTGAACATTATCCTCTGCAAGGTGAGCTCTAGTAAAGCAAAACTGCAGCACAAAAGATTTAATCTAAAAATCTGTTTAAACTGCTAATGTGTATTCCCTGAGAAACATTTTGCACTCAGATACTTGGGATTTTGCATGGGTCCAAACAAAGGCCTTCTTGAGGTTTTATAAGACCTAAAGGAGGTAGTTACTTGTTAAAAACCAGCCTAAATTAAAATGGTTAATGATAATTCTAGAAATGCAGTAAGCATAGACGTCTATTATAGGAAAATCTAATTCTATGGAAGACTTGGTTATCGATAGACCCATAATCTGCTCATTGTTTTGGCCAATGGAGTCTATTTATTTACTTGTGCAAATGTAAATATATTTGTTTTTAAATTAATTTCAGTAATATTAACTTTTAAAAAAATGTTCATTTGATCTATTTCCAATAGTTTGTAAAGTAATATTTCCAGTCTTAGTAAATATATAAGACTTGCTTTGTTTACTAAAGTGGATCTAATGGGACTTACATTGTAAACAAGTCAAACAGTTATCATTTTTATTTCATATAAAGTTTAGTTACAATACTCCAAAAATTATTATAAACTCAGTTGTTTTATTACTATTATTTTAATTTAGCAGAAATAGCAATAATAATAATAATAATAAAAAAGTCTGCAGATTTTGCCTAGCCCTTGTTATCGGTTTCCAAAATTTCATATCTAACAAGAAAAAAACTCAAACTGTTATGAGTAGATTATAATTTAATTTTTGGGAGAATTGTCCAGTTAAAAGGGAACAAAAATTGAAATGTTGGAAACATGCAACCGCTGATTAGAGCCAAAATCTATACATTTCGGTGGAGAATGGCCAAAATGATTGCAAAGTAAACCAATTGAAGTTTTAAGACTGTTAAAAGTGATTAAAATAATTGAATTTGTTAACCGTTGATAAACTCAAATTTGAAAGTGAGCCTTTTAGGTTCTGTGTAGTTTAGGTTGCTGTAATTAATTTTGTTGGTGCCTGCACATGTCAGTAATCATAGGGAAAAAAAAAAAATGTCTCCATCTATGCAAAGGTTTTCCATTCCAACTGATCAGAGAACAGAACCACTTATGTGGGTATTGGGCCAGTACAGACCCCTTTAAAATGAATGTTGAAGTAAATTGTCACAGACCCTGTACACAGTTTAGAACAGGGGTGGGCAAACTCGGCCCGGTGTCCTGCACAGTTTAGCTCCAACTCTAATCAAAACACCAGCTTATAGATTTCTAGTGATCTTGAAGACACGGAGATGTGTTTGATTAGTGTTGGAGTTAAACTGTGCAGGACACTGGCCCTCCAGGACAGAGTTTGCCCACCCCTGGTTTAGAAGGTTAAACAGTCTCAGTTACAAAAAAAAAAAAAAAAAGAAAAACAAATTACACAAACTTGTGTAAAAAAAAAATTCACAATTTGCATATTCACAAATTTGATAGAAACAAATTTTTTTTTACAAACAAATGTGCTTAAATATTTGAGGCCTACCAATGACTTCCATGGTTAGGAAAAAATATTATGGAAGTAAACCATTGCTGGCTTCTAACATTGAATATTCAAAAAAGAAAAAAAAAAAAACCTTAGCATGGAAGCACATGGAGTAGTTTTATTCGAGTGAACTACTACCCCCCATAAATATTTATAAATAAAACCTCAGACTTCAAATCTTTAGTTTGCATCAATTGCACAGAGTATGATTTGGTTAAAGAATAAAATAAAGTACAACATTATGACAGGATCTTTATTGTATTAATTACTACATTAAATGGCACACAAACACTGATACATTACTTTATCAAACCTATATCGCCACAAAGGAAGGTTTATGGCTTCCAGTACAGCCCAAACTTCTCACCAGCTGTTAAAAACAAAGTAAAGCGGCGTTCAGATTTAAAATGCCAATACAACAGGTTTGAAACAGTTTACAATTAAAACAGTGTTGCCCTAAAGACAGCAAGCATCTTATGTAGCAAAAAGACCTGCAAAAGGTCTCACAGGGCACTGATGTAGGATCACTGCGTTAAGGATCGCCAGTGATGAGAAGTGGCTGACCCCCTTTGAAAGTGATCCAAAGATGTGGATTGGCTCTCACCTTCTTGGAAAAGCCTGGTTAGGAAACGCTTTCATTTCTATATATATAAAAAAAAGAAACCATTAGAACTGTATAATCACATTTAAGAGCATTTTAAAAAGGGGGACTGTTCCTAAGAAACCCCAACAGCATTGAAACTGAAGTGACTCATTAGGATGGGTTTTAATTTTTGGTCACGTCCATAGCAAGTCAGGAACAATGCATCCCAAATGCCTTGGTAAATGACCAGGTATATCACACTCATGCAACTGGGAATTCAAGACAGAAGGCTTACTTTTCAAACTGTAGAACTGCGCAAGATTGAAGACCTCCATTCCTTCTTTAGTCCTGCCATATGGGAGCTGTGGGCACAACACAAATGAGGCAGGATTACCAAGACATGCAAAAGTATTGAAACAATGATATTGCTTCTTAAAAAAAAAAAGAAAAAAAGAAAAAAAAAGAAAAGAAAAGACAGGTCACCGTTTGCACTTTTGCTCTCAAGAGAGCAGAAGAGCACAGGGGGTTATATATGGTTTAGAGAGGAACATGGTGGGTATGCAAGTAGCATCACAATACTAACAGACTCCTTCCACAATTAATGGTGTGCAAAAACCCATACAATTAATAACGATTCAAATAGATGAAGGCTGCCATCGCTATATTAAGTTGTTACGATTAAGGTTAGTACAGATTCGGCTTTAACCATAAGAAATGCTAAAATGATTTTTACATTTAGTTTGAATCTAAATGATAAATTTGAATTTTAATCTAATAAAATTTAGATCGACCTAACCAGTTGCTGATATACACAATGTAAAAGACATTGATTTGATTACACAAATCAAGAGGGATTCAAATCTAATTTTCTGTTCAACTAAATGTCAATTCAAATCAAATATTGGAGAACCACAAGTAACTCATATCACCTTTAAGTAAATAAAGTACGCAAAGAATCAAGTATCTTCACAATAAATGGTCTAAAAGTTGATGGCATTTTAAAATGTACAATAGGCCTATTTTTTCTGTAATTCACATAGTAACAGATTTATCATTGCAAAGTTTGCCATTTAAGCAAGGAATTTCAACATTTAGAGTTAACAAGTCAATTTTAATGATTTATTACTAAAAAGTTAAACCAGATTATTAAATAGGATAATTCTCAAATAAGAAAAATTGGATAACTTGCCAATATGAAAATTAATTTGTGATGCAAAGAATTTGTGGAGTAAACATTACAAAGAGGGTTTAAAGAAAAGAGAATTTAGGACGTCTTGTCTCGGCCACTGCCAGGACCCAACAACAAAAATGCAAGGTCCATTAAGAGCAGGTGTCGAGGTTCTCTAGCACTGGCATTTGAGCATTCAGTCAGACATACAACTGGATGCAGATACCAACAGTGCAGGCTCGCATCATTTCTAACAGGCATATTTGGCACTACAAACCTCCAACAGTCCTCCATCAGCATGAAAACGGGTGCGGCACCATCTAGTGGACGTTCATCTGATCACACAGAGAGTGGAAATTTACAGATGAGCTGTTGCTCAACAAATTAAGGTACATCCTTTTATCTAATTGAATGTACTGCAGTGTTTTTCCCACAAAGCTAATGAAATTAGCAACATGGGTAAAGCGATACTACAGACTTTATCTTTGAGGCATTTCCAACGACTAAGCCCTACTGAGAGGGGCCAGTCGGGATAGACCTCAGATTTCCCAAAACACTGTAAAAATTCCACACAACTTCATGTTCTCGCAACAAAGTTGACAAATTTTTACAAATGTAAGTGGATTATTCATTTGAAATAAGTAGTTTAACCAAGAAACAAAAATAGACTATGAATTATGAAACCAAAAATGTGATGACAAATTTAAAAAGCTAATAAGCAGTGACGTTTACCTTTTAGGTTTTCTTAGGTTTAAGTTTATGAATACTCCCAGGTCTGATACCATTTCCCATTCTGGTGCCTGAAAAATTATAACACGTATATAAAACATTTAAAAAGACAAAAGCACATGCATATTTTAAATGCACACTTAAATGTGTACATGTTCAGAAAGGCAAATCCTCTTTCATGGTTTTTAAGAGCAGTTGAACATTTATGCCAATCATCATTACAAAGCTTAACCCCAATTTAATATCCCAATAAATTCTTACCTTCAGTTCACAGGAGGACCTGAAATGTCACCCGAAACCTGTAAGTAAATAGAATTTAGCCACTTGCATAAAAATAAATAGGTAAAATTCCTGTAGTAATGTCTCTTCTCATTAGTAACACTGCTATTGGAACAGCACAGCAGTGGGTTGCAAGAGAAGGGAATTGTACTTTTTGCACTGCACTAGTTCCTAAGCCCACTAGGACTAGACAGTGACTAGTACTGTGCATTTTACTTTAAGAAACAATTTAAAAAGCACTCACCATATTGCATATGTTTGTTATGGTGGCCTTCAAACGACATGGTGAGATTACAGAATTCCCTGGTGGAAGAAAAAAACAACAACATTAAGCTTCATAGGGTCCTAAATTATTGCCATGTAGAGAATATTCCAGGCCTCATTGTCATCTCTGCAATGGGGTTTACAGTGATGAAAGCAAACCTGGCGTTTTTCTAGCCTTGCAGATTGAGGAACTTGCTCTATTTGAGTAATTCCAGTTTTGAAATTCTGCTTGGCAATCTCTGGCCCATCAACAGCCAAACACACAGAGGTAAAGTTGGATTTATTTACGCACATTCATTCGAATATTTGGTCTGAAAATACACACATTACTTCACAACATCTGCCCTATTTAATTGACTGAATAATGTTGTACTTTGATAGTCATTGGCTGCTAATTTGATTTCACCATTTAGAATTTTGTAAAGGATAATTTTAGAAAAGTTTACTAAGGAAAAACTCCAAATGTGTGAATATAGAACCAACTTTAACCCAATTACTCACCACAAAATATTAAGTCACCATCTAAATCCCAAAACAATAGATCAACACATCTTCATAGGATAATTGATAACCTTTTTCGATCCATTTTAAGTGTCGACCACTGCAGTTCAGAATTTAACAAAAGTAATGAGTAAAATTAAATAAACACTACAGCACAATGCTTAAAATTATTGTCACAGTTTCTGCATGTTTTATGAAGCTAGTTATCAAAAAAACCCAACAACTAAGATTAAAAAGATTAATACATTATGCTTATGAAAATTTAAGATTAAATTTAGTTAACACAAGTTTAGTTAACATTAAAAATAACAAAACCATTAAATGCACAATTTATATTCAGAATTTAATGAAAGTAAAAAAAAATGTCTTTTTAACTTTTAAAAACAGAACTTTAGAATCAAAATGAACAGTACATAAATATGCTATTGCAAATAAACATTACATTAAGATTTTAACTCACTTAAAAAAAGGAAAAGCAATAAATCTGTTCTCAAATACATTGACACTATTAAAAACACGTTGCATGAACAAAGGCAATATTTTAAATTATAACTGCTTTTTGGAAAAAAATTACTTGAAACAAAAGAAAGATTTTCTATTAGGCAAGTTTTGTGATGGCATTCTGCTGTTTTTTTCAACACCCATACATTTATGAATAAAAAAATCCATGTAAATGAGCAAATTAAAAACATATTTTGAAAACAGCATTTTCATAAATTTTTTTATTGTAATTTTATATTTATTTGTTTGACAAAAAACGGACCATACTACAATAAGTGTATAAACGCAATCATTAAATATAGGAGTCCTCTCTTTATAGAAAACACAATTTTAAATATTATATTATGTATATAATGCAATAAACTATATAATATTATATTGGTAATGTAATACACCAATATTATGCTAAAACTCAGCAGCACAATTCTACCACGTGGGCTACAATTCAAACCGTAAAGCAAGACTTTGCGTCAAACTTAGCTGTGCTAATAAGACAGCAAACTAATAAATAAAATATGACTAATTCATAAGATAAACGAACGAACAAAACTGAGGAAGGGGAAACGACGAATTACCAAGTTTTCAGTCAGACGCCTTGAAACTCTGCACGCTCTCCCAGACAGAGTGGAGCTGAGAAAGACACCGGAAGCAGTACGGCACATTTTTATACCGACTGCCTGACTTTGCGACATTTTACGGCCACATGAGCGTTTCTGTGGTAACCCTTGAAGTAAACCTGAGTTTTTGCTAGATCAGTTACACATTTATGTCAGATACGGGGTTTAGAAGTCTAGATAGGATACAGTTGCGGAAATCCACATCGATAGCATTATTTTTGTAACACTGTATAACATTATTAATATTTTTACAGTACGGTGACGGTTAGGTTTAGGGTGGCGGTAGGCGTTAATAAAATGCAATTTATTGGGTAATTTATTAAATAGCATAAATAATACTCGGTACAACTACTGTTTTTACATTACTGTGTTGATTGGGTTTACGTTTGGGATAGGGGTAGACGTTAATAAAATACAATAAATGGGAAATTTAATGAATCATATATATAATTCTCGTCAACTTTCGATTTTTTTTGTTACAAAAATGATGCTGTATCCTATCCAGACTTTACCGTTTTATTATTATTATTATTTTTTAAATAAAATAAGAATAATCTATTGTTTATTTTTGTAACTGTGTAATTTATTTTTGCATCCAAGTAAAACAGATATTACACGCAAGATGAATAATTTTCATATGCATGTGTTTTTATGCCAGCAATAAGAAGATAAATAATATAATTTTTACTACAAAAATTTAATACTACAAAAAAAATACTTTCTTAAAAAGCGTTTGACTAACACACACGCACAATAACCTTGACAAACGTTTAATATATATATATATATATATATATATATATATATATATAATAAATAAAAAAATTCACAGGACATAATTGTCCACCAAAATATCTTAAAAACCTTTTCATTATCTTTAATTTAACAGGCAACCTTAACAATTATTAACGCGTATAATGTTGTATTACCGTTAAATATACCGTTAGTCACGTGACCACACCAATTTCGCGTCGGTTAAATAACGTTATACAAACATTTCGCTCGACAGTTAGACTTAGTGATTGACATAATTCTATTTTCACCATGGGGAGTTGCTTTTCACGAAAAAAGAAAAAGATCCCTGATGAATCCTACAGATTTTGGGCTGCAGTAGCATCTTCACTTCGACTCGGCTGGCTTGGGACGACAAATGAAAGGGCGGTTAGTGTTAGCAAGTTAAAGCGACTCTTTCTGAAACGAAAACGATAACTGTTATGTCGAATGTAGCAAATAAGTTACTTGAAAGTCAAAGCTTGAATCAGGCCCGGATTGGCTAATCGGGAGGACCGGGAGAATTCCCAGTGGGCCGGTCCGTTTTTTGGCCGCGAGGGCCGGTGTCCCTAGTTCCAGAATCTTTTGCTCTCAGCAGTCACACTTTTTAAAAATACTTTATTTATTTACTTGACCACAGCCTTCTTATTCATTATTTTACCGCAGCTCTGCTCTTTTTATTTATTTTCTCGGAGCCTCGTGAGCAGGGTGCAGCCTGCAGGTTAATGATGATATAACTAAATAAGTCACCATTTAATGTACAGCTGTTGTGGTACAGTGGTTAGTACGTTAGATTATGACGCGGCCAACCTGGGTTCGATCCTTGTCTGAATAACAATTTTTTTTTTTTCATTTTTATTGTTAAGACATAATACTGTAAGGGTTGTTGAACATTTGAAGTTCTAAAAGAGCTGTTTTCTCAAAAAAAGACGTGATAGTGTAATTAGAAACTGAATTGGAAATAACCTTATTTTAATATAGTCAGTCGTGAACTGAGGTGGGCCGGTCTGAGGCTTGAAACTCCAGGGCTGAAAAACAGTCCCACTCCGGCCCTGGCTTGAATCAATAATTACGTATGGGTATTGTACAAGCAGTTTCTTGTTCAAGCAAAAGTGTCACTGACAAGTGTCACTGACACATTTTATGTTTGTTTGTTTTTATCTAACGCTAGGAGATTAAAGCATGTCAGACTGCTCTTTTCCCTTATCTGTTGAGCTCATCCGCTATAGAAGAAGATTTTCTTGGCTTTGAGGAGCATCTTATAGAGGTAATTCATATCTGGAATGTTCCCACTTTTATTATCTGCTACTTTCTTGTTGTATAAGTTTCTTTCTGTCACTTGTTAGTGTCAGTTCCAGTTTAAATCTAAACAGTTGTTCCCAAAATGAAGTTGGAATACTCTGTTAGTTCTGCACTACAGTTTACTGTTATCACATTAGTTCATCCTCACAACACTTAAAATGCAGATCTTTTTTTTTTTAACCCATTAACTGTCCCACCAGGAAAAAAAAGTATTGCATTTCTTATCTCCTAATGTCGCTATTATGGCAAAAGCGATTCATACATATACTATGAAAAATCTGACCCATTTATTTTAAACATAATTAAAATTAAGCATTTTTGAATACTAAATATTATAGTTTAATCAATAGTTTTTTTCAAGTATGCCGTAAAATATTTCAGATGCTCATTTAACGTTTTCTTGTTTTTGTTTTTTACAATAAAAAAACCCTAAATCAAGTGTAGTAGTGCAACAGGATTATGTTTGCCTGATTTTTTTTTGTAAACCAACAATGCTGTGTGTGTAAAAAGTTATTTAAATGACTTTAACAGTCATTATTTAAAGCTGTTAAAATATGGTCAACCATTTGATAGAGCAGGCAGTTAAAGGGTTAATACTTATTTGTTCCATAAAACTTTCACAATTATGTTGCTCATAATAATAGTTATATCTAGTCTCTCTCTCTCTTTACATGTTTGAAAATTAAAAAAAAATAAAAATCATCTTGTATGCGCAGTGGCAGTGGCGCAGTAGGTAGTGCTGTCGCCTCACAGCAAGGTCACTGGTTCGAGCATCGGCTGGGTCAGTTGGCATTTCTGTGTGGAGTTTGCATGTTCTCCCTGCATTCACGTGGGTTTCCTCTGGTTGCTCCGGTTTCCCCAACAGTCCAAAGACATGTGGAATTGGGTAGGCTATATTGTATGTAGTGTATGAGTGTGTATAAATGTTTCCAAGAGATGGGTTGCAGCTAAAAGGGCATCCGCTGTGTAAAAAACCTATGCTGGAGAAGTTGGTGATTCATTCCGTTCATTCCCCGTATTAATAAAGGGACTAAGCTGACAAGAAAATAAATGAATTCATCTTTGTTAAATTGTTTTAATGTTATAATTTCTTGTGCATACAATTCACTTAAAAAGCTTACAATTTCAAAACGCATGAAAAGATAAAAAATCATTTCAGTTTGTGTGTTTGTTGGTATAGCTTGCAAAAAACAGAAATGTGCGCACATCTAAAAAAATCTTGAAGGCAGGTGCACGATCAAAAAACAAACATAAGTAGCAAAAGATTCAAAGTAAATCGGCACACTGCCACTTTAGGTCTCAAAAAAAATTTATTTGTCAAAATTACAAAAGCACTAACCAACTGTGCTTTTGTAATTTTGACAAATAAAATTTTTTTGAGAGCTAAAGTGGCAGTGTGGGGATTTACTTTGAATCTTTTGCTACTTATGTTGGTATAGCTGACACTGTTTGGAGTGATATAAAATTACGCTAAATTAAACCCATATAAAACTTTAAAAGATAAGAAGCACCAGCCAAAATTTAGTCGCACCCACCAAATAAATGAGCACTGTTACCACAAGTGTTATATTAACAGATTTATTGCATTTGAAATTAACACTCGCGCTGCTTGATATCATACTGGTTGTCATGAATGAACTGAGTAAACGATCATAATAACTGTGATATGTTCTCACAGGTGGAGTTTGATATTACACAGATAATATTGACATACAACTTATTATTTGCATACATCATCTTAATAGCAATAGCTTATACATATAACTTATTAGCTTTTACAATAGCAATAGTCTTTACATGAGCTGAAATATTAGTTGAATTTAGTGAATGCAAGCCTATTTGCAATAATGTACTCTTTGTGCAATTTTACACATAGCTGCCACTCAGACTGACAACATTTTGGCGATTAAATGAGGGATTGAACAGAACCTCTTCTGCTTAAAATATGTAGATTCAGTGGCAAACACTGTTACCTGCAAACTCTGTGTCACAGACTTTGTGAATGGCCTTAGTTATTTTCATAGCGGACTTTAACCCAATGGAAGTCTGTTATCCACTCTTCGAAAAGTGTAAATTCACTACATGATCACTAATCAAATGTGCCATTATTTGTAACTTTAAGTGGTTTCTAAAACACAATTGGTCAGTGTTGTTTTCATTCTTTCATCTTCAGTGCTTTACATTTTTGTGGATGAGCTCCCTGTCATCTGAAGGCAGAATGCTTTGACTGAGTAATGGACAGCTGATATTAACCAATCCATTTGCATTCAGTTCTAGAGCAGTGGTCTAATAAGAAGAGCGCAAAGGCAAGGCAAATATTGCAGGATTTGTTTACTGCAGTAAGTTAGCATGACAGCTATTTCAAACTATTCCTGAGTGCTGAGTTTGGTGTCTTTAGGTGCAACGACGCACTCTGCGTGAATGTTTCCTAAATCGGTCCATGTGGGGAACATTTTGACCTGCACAAATGCTCGCAAACACAAAAACACATACAGGTATTTAAAAAATCAATAAGTATTTTAATACAATTAACCTTTGTTAAAGCTACGATTATTAAAATGTCTTGTGCCAGTATACTTTAAACTCTCTTAAAAAGCTTACAGTCACCAAACCAACAGAATGACGTCACTTGCATAGGAAGCATGGGTGCCTGAGAGTGCAAGCCTGAAGGTGCAAGTGCAACGCTGCAGCCAGACCCTTCTCCACCAAACACATGCAACTCTATTATGGTTGAACTTTGCAGTGACATCAAAAATCACATCTTCCAAACTGTGGTGCCTGTTAACTATAATTTCGACTCGGAAATTTAGTGTAATTTTTATAATGTATTAAATCATTATGTGATATTACACATTTTCCAGTGAGCTTAATGTGTTCACATACCCTCAATTTGTGTTTTTTACTTATTTGTTCATAGGGTGCTGATATCTCGAGTTGTGATGATCGCCGTCGGACAGCTTTGCATGTGGCAGCAGCGCAAGGTCATATAGGCGCTGTTCGCTTCTTGCTGCAGCATGGAGCAAATGTGCATGCTTTTGATTGCAATGAAGAAACTCCTCTTTTTGATGCCATACGCTGCAGGTATCAAAGCATTTGTTCCTGCTACACAAACAAAACAATCTAAGACATGGGGCTGCATGATATTGGAAAAATCAGACATTTGCAATGTTTTTGCTATATATACACACTTGTATCACTTGTACCCCAATGGGTCATGGAGGAGCAATCGGTTTACCTATCTACTGTTTCCTCGGCGCTCTCCTCATCATCATCACAGTTCTTTCCTCCAGCGACAATGCAACTCTTAACAAACATTTTACTATGTTTATTTCAAAATTAACTAAAAAACACATTACTGTGCAGGTTGCATTACTTATATCATACATTCATGCACAGAATTAAACAAAGACAGAACCACTCAATGAATACTTTTAACTGCATATCTGAGTGGCATCAGAGTGAAACATCATGCGTTGTATCATATTTAAAAAATTTCCTTTTATGACTTATGATAATGAAACATGTAAATTAGCTTGTACATTTTTATATGTTTATATTTTTGCCATTTTTAATTTAAAAAGTGACAGTTTTATTTATTTAGTACGTGAAAAAAATTACTTGAATAGACTATAAAAAAAGTGATTTCAGTGTTTTTTTTTCCAGCTGTGGTGGCAGGCCTTTTACACAAATCTACCAACTACCTATGGCCTTATTTAAATGATAAATGGAGAAATGTGGTGAGCGCAGTATTACAAGTCGTGATCGCATTTATGTAATACGGGCATGCAAATCTCTCTGCTTGCGCGACGATTTCCTCTGCTCGTTCACAAAACTTCTTGCCTGCCCACTCAAATACATGCTGCTCAAGCGCAGATCTTCTTGTGCGCTCTCAAATAAACACTGTTGAAGTGCGATTTATGTAACAAGTATGTCTCCAACAATTATTAGATTTGCTAGGAATATTTATGAATTTCTCCTACAGACCTACAGAGCGGCAATAATGCGTCCTGAAGTAAAGTGAAACGGCTATAAACTTCAGCAAGATAAAGTCATTGTATGCAGAGCCATAGACCTTTATCTATAAAATATAATCATGGAAACTGTGTTCATCTTAACTGAAAGCTATGTCATATTAGCTGGCCTCATGCATCACGCACTTGTTAGTCAGTCAGCATGTCACCTTAAAGGGTTAAACAAATAACGCACAGCACTACTACGATTACAGAAAAAAACATTATAATTCATTTACCTTTTAATGTTTTGGTGCGATTATAACCCGTTATTAAAAACAACAACAACAACAACAACAACAATGACTGAATATTTTAAATGAGATGCTGTAATGTAGCCATGGTGAGATGAATTTTGATGTGGCGCTCTGCCGTGGAAGAATGAACATAGCGAAAACCATGGATTTGTGCTACAGTAAACACATTTTTCTGTTTACCCAATGCGGAGCTGTTTCCCTAAAATGAAAATCTTAAATTACTAAATTGTTCTTTGTTTTCCTGACTTTTATTTTTTACTTTGAATTTACCGTTTATGTTAGCAACATACAATACTTGATATAGCTGTTTTGAAACATAATTTTTTTTGAACAGTATTAAAATAAAAAAATAAAAATACATTTTTGGAAATGGGCTGTTTTAACAAGTCCCTATAAAGTTATATGTAGGCCCACACGGAATCTGCGCACGCAGAATTCCGCAGATTTTCCGCAGATTTTTCAGCAGAATTCCGCAGATTTCTGGCGATTTTTAGAACATCATTAATTCTGTTTATTTACTTGAGTAAATGTGTAAATCTGAATTTATTCAGTTTTTATTCAGTAATTTATTATTTTTTATTTAATATATTAAGGTTTTAGTTATGATACTCGCTGGATACACCCAAAATAATTCCGCAGAAATCCACAGATTTTTACCAAAATTCTCAGCAGAAATAGCAAAAAATGTCCGCAGATTCCGTCTGGCCCTAGTTATATGTCAGAAACATACCAGAAACATACAGGTCCTTTAAAAAAAATTAGCATATTGTGATAAAGTTCATCATTTTCTGTAATGTACTGATAAACATTAGATTTTCATATATTTTAGATTCATTACAGACAACTAAAGTTGTTCTAAGCCTTTTATTGTTTTAATATTGATGATTTTGGCATAAAGCTCATGAAAACCCAAAATTCCTATCTCAAAGAATTAGCATATCATGAAAAGGTTCTCTAAACTAATTACTAACCTAATCATCTGAATCAACTAATTAACTCTAAACACCTGCAAAACATTCCTGAGGCTCTGTCAGAAACATATATGTCCACATATATGTAACATAAATGTCAGAAACATATGTCACATGTATGTCAGAAACATATATGTCACATATATGTCAGAAACATGTCACATATATGTCAGAAACATATGTCACATATGTGTCCCATATATCTCAGAAACATATATGTGACATATATGCCAGAAACATATATGTGATATATATGTCAGAAACATAAATGTCCCATATATGTCAGAAACATATATGTGACATATATGCCAGAAACATATTTGTCGCATATATGTCAGAAACATATATGTCCCATAAATGTCAGAAACATATATGTGATATATATGCCAGAAACATATATGTCAGAAACATATATGTCACATATATGTAAGAAACATATATGTCACATATATGTCAGAAACATATATGTCACATATATGTCAGAAACATATATGTCACATATATGTCAGAAACATATATGTCACATATATGTCAGAAACATATATGTCACATATATGTCAGAAACATATATGTCCCATATATGTCAGAAACATATATGTCACATATATGTCAGAAACATATATGTCACATATATGTCAGAAACATATATGTCACATATATGTCAGAAACATATATGTCACATATATGTCAGAAACTTATATGTCCCATATATGTCAGAAACATATATGTGACTTATGTCAGAAACATATATGTGACATATATGTCAGAAACATATATGTGACATATATGTCAGAAACATATATGTGACATATATGTCAGAAACATATATGTCACATATATGTCAGAAACATATATGTCACATATATGTCGGAAACATATATGTCACATATATGTCAGAAACATATATGTCACATATATGTCAGAAACATATATGTCACATATATGTCAGAAACATATATGTCATATATATGTCAGAAACATATATGTCACATGTATGTCAGAAACATATATGTGACATGTATGTCAGAAACATATATGTGACATGTATGTCAGAAACATATATGTGACATGTATGTCAGAAACATATATGTGACATGTATGTCAGAAACATATATGTGACATGTATGTCAGAAACATATATGTGACATGTATGTCAGAAACATATGTCACATATATGTCAGAAACATATATGTCCCATATATGTCAGAAACATATATGTCCCATATATGTCAGAAACATATATGTGACATATATGTCAGAAACATATATGTCCCATATATGTCAGAAACATATATGTGACATATATGTCAGAAACACATATGTGACATATATGTCAGAAACATAAATGTCCCATATATCTCAGAAACATATATGTGACATATATGCCAGAAACATATATGTGATATATATGTCAGAAACATAAATGTCCCATATATGTCAGAAACATATATGTTCCATGTATGTCAGAAATTTATGTTTATATATGCCAGATAATGAGATGAGTTGGTTTAATGCACGTTATGCTCAAAACACACACTTTTCTCATTAAGACATGTGTTAGGGTTGCAGACCGTATTTTTCCGTCCTTAAAATAGCAAAAGTGGATTTGGTCATGTCCTGAATGTTTTTTCTAGACTTTGCACCTAGATCATTAAAATAATGCCCAATAGGTTCAGACTTAGTGCTAACTGAAGTACTAAGGGTTTTAATTGTCATTTAAATTGCCCTATTTAAATCAACAGGAGTTTGGAGGTGGTGAAGCTGTTACTTTCTGCAGGGGCAGTTTTGGACAAATCCACTGAAGAACTTGGAATTCAGATGTGCTGGTATATGACATTATGTTTTAAAACTGTATATAAGCCTGTAACGTCATAGTAATAATTGTAGCCATCTGTAGTTCTTGTTAATTGTTTCACATTGTAGATTAAAGATAGAAAAGAGACTGTGCCTCACTTGTTCAAACTTGCATTATTTGCTTTTTGTTGTTTTTAGTCTACGTTTTACAGTTTGGTTGTAAAATGCTTTGTGAATCTTCTTCTTGAAAGGTGCTATAAAAATAAATATTACTTACTGTATATGCATTGTGCTTTTCAGTCTTGCATACCTTGGAAAATCAGAAGAGATGGAGGCGTGGAAGGCGGCTGGAGTCAGTTTTAATGTTGCTGATGCTCATGGTCGAACTCCCCTGCATGTGGTGAGATTTTCTTAGAAATGAGGAGTAATTGTTGTTTCTATTAAGAGTATATAAGCTTGGCTCATCTTCCTTCATGTGCTTTCACAGGCGGTGTGCACCGATCAACCTGAAATGGTGAAGTTCTGTATCCACAATGGATCAGATCCCGAGGTATGGATACAAAGGAATTAGAAGCAATGATTTGTATGGCAAAAGACTGGACACATGTATTCTCTAAATATTTCTATTATTAGTCATCAAAACCTGGGGTTTAAAAAAAAACAGGTCATTCATGTATGGGGTGGGGGAATGGCTGGTTTGAGGGCTCAGTCCTCAATGAGGGTATAATAGCTAAAAAAATATCTAATTAAAAAAACATTTTTGACTAATAGGGTAAGGTTGTATACCAAACCTATTGCAGTATTCCACTGTATTGCATAGATGGGTATAAAATTTGAGCACTGAATCAGCAAAATAGAAAACACAAACACAAACAAACAAACTAACAAACAAACAAACACATGTGTATTTATAAATAATTGTATTTTATGATGATGTTTTTATCTAACCTTTACATTAGGGGAAAACTGATTGCCCTTCATGACATTTTGAAATTGACATATATGTCATATATCATTCGATCATTAAGTAAAGAAGACCATGCTTCTCTACTGTAAATATGTCAAAACAATTTTTGATTAGAAAACATTTTTGATTAGCTAAACTTTTAATTTAGACATCTTTAAAAGACAATTTTCTCAATATTCAGATTTATCTTGGCCAAATATTGTTCCAGCCTAATAAATCTTACATCAATGATTTAGCACTATTGAAGAAGCAGGAACCAGTATAGACCTTTTTCATGGCTGCTGCATGGAGGGCGCCATAGCGACCAGCGTCTTCCGGTAGAATGCCAAAAACTTCCGTTTACAGCGTGTACGACTGGTAATTTGCGCTCCGAAAATGGGTTTCAATAACGTTTTTAATGGATAACAGAGTGTTTTTGTGACACATAACTTCGAAATGTGTCTGTTAAAGCCATTATAATCTGTCACGTGTGGTTCAAGCGCGTCAGAAATACGAGAAAAATGTGCTCCTAGTTTACGTGTCTGCCGTCAGAAATACAGTGTGTGAGTGCGTTCCCGGTCTGTCAGCTGTTAGCTCAGCGGCTCTTTAACACACACACACACGCACGCACACAGAGAGAGAGAGAGAGAGAGAGAGAGAGAGAGAGAGAAAGAGAAAGAGAGAGAGAGAGAGAGAGAGAGAGAGCGCGAGCAAACCAGAGTACTGGCATGAAACTTAACAGGTATGAAAGTCGTGCAATTTACAAAAATGACCAATAAAAGTCTGTTATTGATACTCTGCTGGCTGATTTGCTGTTCATTCTAATCGCGAGCCGTTTGTGTTTTATTTTGTGTGTTGTTTTTACCAGGGTTTGTGTTTTTCTGTCATTTCGAAATGACACTAGCCTATATTTTCACTTTGTCACAGTTATTAAATCAGTGTGTCAGTGGCACAGTACAGGCTACTTGTGTGTGTCAAACATTTTGGTGAATTACATTTGTTTGGGCTGGCTATATATTTGAAATAAAGAGAAAATGTTGACTTTAGCGATGACAAGGCTTCATTTAAACTGCAGAAGATGCCGTCTGACAACAAGGGGAAAACGCCTCACAGCAGCTGTTTTCCATCCTATTAGATCGCATTTCTTTAAATGATCAGTCCAGGAAATGGTGCTGATAGACAACAGTATTAGTTCAAAGAGGATAAAAGCAGGTAAAATAGATTAAAACTATCGTTTCAAAGCTGTCCAAATGTGACGGTTTACACGCATCAGCTGCCGACCGGAAGTTCTTCGCATTCTCCTTGCGCATACACGCAAAGCATAATGGGTTATTTTGCGTTTAAAAAAAAAGGTCTATACTGCTTAGAAATGTTCTGTCTGAGCATTATTTGAGCGCACTTTGCTTTACTGGTAAGCATGTGTGTCGATGCTAGGGATGTAACGGTATTGTAAATACCGTCATACTGCAATATTAATTTTTTTCGATATTACCGAAGTCGCATGACTCGGTAAAACTATAGGTCTTCTGAGAAAATTTGCTCAGGCGAATGAAGCGAACGGGAGGTAGCAAAAACTAAAATTCCCATCAGCCCATGCTTGACTATCATCCCTTGCGGTCTGTTGTCGCTACAGATCCAGTAATGCGGAAATGGAGTGTGCTGCTAGAAGCGGGGATGAAAAAGAGCTGAAAAACTCTAAAGCGGGTGTTGTCGCCGCGCGCGTACTGAATAGCGGTGTTGTCGCGCGAGTTCTTATCAGCTGTGTTGTCGCGCGAGTTCTTATCAGCTGTGTTGTCGCGCGTGTACTGAATAGCGGTGTTGTCAGCACACTGTTCAGATTGATGCAGACATGAGACCTCTATCTTACTCATGGTTTGTCCTCTCAAGTGGGGGAAAGACAATGCACAACGTTACCCACTGCTGTCAACCTGGGCCAAGTCATATCTCTCTTGTCCCAGAAACCTCAGTCCCAAATGAGAGTTTTTTTTTTCTGTTGCAGGGGACATTGTAAATGCCCAGAGATACCAGCTTTTACCAGATTTTATTTATATGATAATTTTCCTTTAAACCCATCTCTATCTAAGTGAGTGAGTGAGTGATTAAATGTTGAATGTGATGAGTTTTCAACAATACTAAATTGAAACTTAATATTTTTTTACATGGTTTAATATTTTTTTGTTATTAAAATTGAAGTTCCTGTTTCAAATCTTACAGATAGATGGCTAATTTGTATGTCATTGACACTTTTGGCACTTTTTTGGAGTATTTTCATAAGTTTTGTTTTTTCCTGTAAATGATTCAATAAATACCGTACCGTGACATTCATACCGAGGTATTACCGTACCGTGAAATTCTGATACCGTTACATCCCTAGTCGATGCAGAAAAAATCTATATGGCCTTTGTATAGTGCATTGAAATAAATGGTTTCATAGCGCAGTGTTTTCTGCATCCGGTATGTTCTGCAACTGTTATGCAGTCTACAGCTTGAGAGAAACTGAAAGTAGCACGTTGGACAGTGGACAGTGTGGCATCCCTAGCTAATTTTCTCATGAGGTGCCTGCTGGCATACTTTTGCAGTAGATTTGATTCAGTTCTCATACATTGACTATGTAGGTTTTCTTTTTTCTTTTTCACTCGTCTATTTTAGCAATAGTAAATTAAATTAAAAATGTATTTTGTTGGGAAAGTCACTCTGTACATTTTATGTTTGAAGAAAGCCAGAGTTCTCGAAACTTTTCACTTTTGGTACTTAAAGGACATAAAAGCATCACTATATCTCTAAACATTTCAATGATTTAAAAAAAAACCCTTTGTTTCAATCTGTTCTGAAATAACAGCAAAGAGACGGATTCAACAACAGGCCTATAGACGATGCTGAGAGACTAGGCTTACAGCACATGGTGGAGCTGTTGACTTACCAAGCCCACCAGCCCACCAGCTCAGGCCACAGATGGATGAAAAGTCCAGAATAGTGAGGACCAGCAGGCATCTTGTGAAAAGGTTCAAAGTTTGTCACTGGATTTTACAGACGACATTTGTTTAATTTCAATGTTACTAAGGATAGAGAAACTCTTTTGTTTTAGATATTTTGGAACAACAAAATAGGTTACTAAAACAATAAAACCATCTTTGCATTATTACTATTTTTAATCACATCTTAAGTTTTCTGGGTTTAAAAAACAAAGTTAAAAAGACAATACTTTCTTCTATTTTGATAGTAATCTCAAGACAAATAAGTTCTCAGTTTCAGGAGTTTTTCCACTTTGTGTGATATGGGTTTTCAGTTCTGAACATAGATAGCTTAATTTGCCATGTAAAAAACACACACTCGACAGTACATTTAATACTTGACCATTTTTGATAAAAACTTAAAAGGCACCTATGGTAAAAAAACTACTTCACAAGCTGTTTGGACGGACATATGTGTAGGTATAGTGTATAGACCGTCATATTGGGGTGATAAACACACACAGTTCCTTTTTTTATTGATTGACAGGCGCATCACCTTATCCTCAGTTTGTTGTTTCACGTCTGCCATCTATGGTCAAAGCGATATCACTAAAGGAACACCCTTGCTCTATTTTTAGATGTAAGGCTCATTGGGCTCAACACAAGATCAATATTCTATACATTATCGCTCTAATCTGAATTATTGTTTGTACCCTTTGGGTAGGTTTGCCAACATGTGTACTTTTCATTGTGTCTACCTTAAACTTCAGCTATTCACATTTCTCACGTTTACAGAAGCTCCCTGTGATCTTAACTAGGTGCAGCTGGAAAGTGCAAACGCGTTGCCTCATGTGTGCGTTTCTCCATTGGAAATAAAATAATGAAGTTGCCTGCATGTCGCACACCACAAGCGTTGCTCGGCGACGTGCAGTGACGTGCATTTTAGAATTGTAAACATATGCTTCAATTAGGGTACACACAACGTCGCTTTAAGTCGGTGGCTGTCCGCGGTGCACAGCCACGATTTGGGACACTTCATGTTTCTGCCGTGCCACAAAGCGCCATCTGAATAGTTTCATTATAAATAACATGCAAATGTGCGTGTCTAAGTGTGCCGTGTCGTGGCTCTGGTGCCTCAGTCAAAGTTAATTCAGTGTATGTGGTTATTAGTCTCGGTGTACAATCTCGGCACTTTAAACTAGCACACAGTTGGCTGTAAAACTATACTGAGACACAAATGATTTTGTAGTCTCTGCTTGGTCTGTGTCCAAGTCGTACATGTACGGCTGATTGCTGATCCGCTCACTCATGTTGCTTCTCTCTGTCTGCCTGTCTGTTGCCAAACACAGAGCATGGGAGCTATTGGCTCCACCCCCTTGTTACGTTGGGCGGGAAGTCGAAACATATTTTCACGTGAAGCAACACACCCCTAAAACAGCGAGCTGTGTACAGGTCCCCAAAACGACACTTTTGAACACGTTATAATAAAAAATCTGAATAGTGTTTTGAACTGAACCTAATCTGGCACACTCAGAAAAACCATAATATTAATATTAAATCATAAAAAGGGGCAAACTATGTGCCCTTTAAGTAAATTAAAGGTTTTGGTGTCTGACAGCACTTGACATTATACTGTAACTCAACACACTTTCATATTCTTCATACTAATATTGTCACTTCATCATGGCTTTCAATGACAAATGTGGCATGCAAAAAATGAACATTAAGTACTTAATTATGGCTTAAATCAGTGGATGTCAACTCCCACATTGCACATTTTCAATGTAATTTTCTCATTTAAGATGTTAGAGCATGTTTAAATATTGACAGTGTACTAAAACAGAAGAGCTTTTCCTTTGCAATTCCTGTCATAGATCGGAAAAAATTTGGAAAACATTTTTTTATGCACGCTAGGCTAGTAGTTCACAATGTTGGAAAAGCATTAATTAACATGCATCTGGAGGGATTGTTTATCAAGTACTTATGTTTTTATGTTTCAGCATTGGTGGCTTGCTCTGGCCCTCGAGATCCACTGTCATTCAGAGTTCAGATCCATATCTAATCAAACACACCTGCCAGTTAAAAATTCTAGACCAAGTGTTCTATCACAATCAGTTACAGAACCGAAGAGTTTCTTGTGATGCAAAAGTACAAAACAAACACAGTAATGAAAAATAAATATTTAAAATGAGGAAATAGTGTATTATTAAACTTTCAAAGATTAAGCTCAGCGCTCTCCTAAAACAACAGGCAAACAATAATTGTGTATTAAATTTAAGATTCCTTAATGCAAGACTGTGTCTATCATACCAATAGGTGCAGCAGGCAACAACTCTTATGTGTGTGTAGAGGTTACTCACTTACCCACAGACTGACTTATGAACTCACAAGAATGAGACAATATCTTATTTGCATTGTTTGACAGACATGCGTGACAGTTATATACTGGGATTTTTTGCAGCACCATGTTTTTAGAAGCCATGTAAAGAGGAAATGATGCTGAACATAGCAGCGCTCATTTGTCATACATACTGTCAGTGTCAGTTTCCGAGCAGTGAGTGCACCAATCAGAAAATTTAAAGGCATAACTAGTGTTGCTGTATAAGACTTAAATGTTCTATTCTGCGAAAACAACTAGCTGGATGTACTTTATCCTGCATATTACATGGCTACTTGCCAAAAAAGTCATATTCTATGTAATCAGAGTCATATTTTGTGGCAAGTAGCCATGTAATAAGAGAGACAAAGTCCATCTATGGGGTTATCAGAATCAAGTATTCCAGAGAGCAATGTAATAACGATAGATAACGACATTGAACCGTTTTGAAGTTCCCATATTCTTGCCTTCAAAACTCTGTTGTTGTGTAAATAAATTACAATTGTTGTTGGCTAGTTGTCCTGGTGTGCAATCTGTTTTGCACTCATCCTGTTGTCAAAGTAGTACAATTCAATTCTCTTTCTCTCTAATCGTTTTGTTGACATTTGTGGCTGCCTTGTTCTGCTATAAAAGCTGCTGGCTGGTTACTCTGCCTCATTGGTTATTGTGGATATTCAGTCAGAGACAGTCTGATCCAAAAGTGATATGATTTGGGATTGGGTAGGCTTTAACTAGACTTGAAGCCATTGAAGTAATTGTATTAACACCACACATGGGAGAACTGTTTTGGACAAAAGTTGGTGGCACTAGCCTTAAATCAGGCCCAAATTTGAGTTTGAATTAGTTAAATGAGGTGTGTTTGATTAGTGCCAGAAACAGGGTTGAAAACCACTGGTTTAGAAAAACATTCAAACAAAGAAAAAGCTTTTTTTTTTTTTTTTTTTTTTTTTTTTTTTAGAATTAATGTTTAACTATACCAAATGCCAGAATCTGAAGGTACACTAGCATCCGTCACCTTAGCCTTGCAGCTAACTATAGCACAGTGTAAGAATACTCATATTGTGTACTCTGGAAGCATATTCTACAAGACTTAGGGCCCTGTAATACACCCAGAGCAATAAGGCACACGGCGTTGTGTAGCATGATTTGTTGCTATTTTCAGACCAGCGCAACTTTAATTTTCATGTTTTGCGTCACGTTGTTTAAATAGCAAATCTATTTGCATCACTTTGTGGACATGCGTGTGCTGGTCAAAAAAGGGGTGTGTTAAGGCTTATTGTTGATGTGCTGGTATTTTGAGGAACTGAAACAGACCGCCTCATTGACCAACTAAAAGCAGGTCTAAAGTCCAGCGCAGAGCGTGTTAGTTATGCGCCTATGCAGATCCAAACACTTCCACATTGCTTAATACACATAGGATGTACAGCAATACAAAATTGGGGCTTTTTTTTCAGTTTATTCATGACAATTTGCATTTGTATAATGTTATTATTAGTAGCAGTGTTATTTTTATTATATGCATATTTATATTTGTTTTAAAACAAACAAGTGTAGATTCACCCACCTGTCTAGTTTTGGAGACATTTGCATCATCATATGGGGCATAAGAATAGGGTGTGTGTTTAACTCTTTTTTTTTTGACCACACTTCATTATTATTGTTCATTTATTCGTTTGCTGGAAATTAGAACAGAATTTAGAAATAGCTTTGAAACAAATCTTTGCGCTTAACAAACAAAATTAAATATGTAGGCAGTGGTTACAACCTTTTCCCTTACTCCACGAAAGTAAAGGAGTAAAGAGTAAAATAAATAGAAAGTAAAAAGGCCAAACGGAGGAGGCTCATTCTTTATCCTCGTGCTGCAGATGATCTGTTTAACCGTTTCCTCGCTAGTGAAGCATTCAGTTTTTCCACTTAAAGAGTCCGCCATGTAAATAACAAAAGCACCAGGGTGTGACGCACCTGACTCGTAAATAGAATCAGAGATGAGACTCTGATTGGTTTAATGCACATTGTGCTCACAACACACCCATAACTCATTAAGAGAATAAGCACAACGCTGTTAAGCAGGTCGCACACCAGAAGCGCCGCTCGGCGCCGCGACACGGCGCGTACATGACAGTTTAAGGTATCACACACCAGACGCGCACATTCGAATGATATTTAACATGAAACTAATCAGATGGCGCTCTGTGGCGCGGCTGAAAAATGAACTGCGTCCTGAGCCGTCGCCGGGCGCCGCCGACAGCCGCCGACTTGCGGCGCCGGTGTGTGTATCCTGATAGAAACCTATGTTTAGAATTCTAAAATACATGGCGCTGCGTGGCGCTGCGCGGCGCGCCGCCGAGCGGCGCTTCTGGTGTGCGACCTGCTTTAGACCATGTGCCAGGGCGCAAGCCATATTTTTCCGTCCTCTAAATAGCAATTGGATTCATAAGTGCCCTTAATGCGTTTGCGCCATACGCTTTAGACTGTGCACTTAGATCGTTAAAGTAGAGCCCTCAATGTTTTAACAGTGTAACAGACAAGAATATAACTGTAATATGTATGGTATTGTTTCCATATTAAAAGCTAATAGACATCAATCTAAGAATATTTGTAGAGTGAGCAGTTTAAAAACACACCTAACACGAAAAAGGCATAATAATTCGGCCATTGGGTGCAAGATTAAAAGGAGAAGCACTATAATATGCAAACAATTGCCTGAGAGTTAAAAATGATCAAAACAAGACAAGAGTTTTTATTTTTTTGTAACATGCAGTCACATGTCCAGTCAATAGAACAACCTGACGGGCAATGCGATAGCGTTCAAAAGTACAAAAAACGGTCCGAGAAGGAAGGCTGACATTCTTGTAGCATCCAAGAGCAGGAACTCTCTTTTTACAGAGGAGAACAGCAGTATCAAACATTAAGCAAAGTTATTTTAATGACAGCCCAAGAACATTGCATGCATTTTATGCTATAGAGATTGTGTACAAAAGCAAAAAGATTACAAAAATGTCACAGGCGTGACTCGCACAATGAACATTGTCAGAAAGAGATAAGGTTTCTCAGTTGATGAACATAGATCTTAGGGCTGTATACAGGGTTTGTCGATCTCAGAATTTCAATGTGTTTAATAAATGGCCAACATCTCCAATCTAGACCTTAAACAATAAATAAAATGTACTGATAATTTAGGGAAAAAATAACCAACAATAACAACAGAATTTTAAAACATACAGTAATATAATATTATCTACCATACCCACCTGCAGCATGCTAAATATGCAATAACACAAAAAGGTTAAAATAATACATTGGTTATAATATAATGCCACAAAATAACACAACTTAATAACGAAATAGACAGAATTGAAACAAACATGTTAAACCATAAACAGTATTTAAAAAAATATATTAAGTCATCTTTAAAATGCTTAAAGGAAGTATAAGATAAACATGCCATTAATAATTCTTAAAACAAATGTAACTTGTGAAAGTTTGTCAAATCCATTTTAGATTCACAGACTGAAAACTTAGATGTTAAAGGTGCAGTTCACCCAAAAATGATAATGTATTCTCCATTTACTCACCCTCAAGTGGTTACAAACATGGGTTTCTTTCTTCTGTTGAACACCATAGAATAACGCCTTCGACTTCCACCGAAGGAAAAACAAATACTATGGAAGTCAATGGTAAATTTTACAGAGTAAATGATGACAGAATATTCATTTTTGAGTGAACTGTCCCTTTTAATGCAATTAGGGTTGTCACGACAAGGGAATTCGGTGCCAATTGATACCAACATTTTAAAAACGTCCATTTCCCGGGAACATTTGAGCGACGCTCTTAAACACTGCTGATTTGCCATTGTGTTCAGTCAACAGAAATGATTGGGATTGGCCGTGAAGCTCATCAGTTCACAGAACTCACCGCTGTTTACTGAGTGTAAACACAGATACAGGGACACTGTAGGGTTTTAATGTCGCGGTTTATATTTATATAGACAAAATAAGCTGATCGACCAGACTTTGAAACTCTCCGGTGTCCCTATATTTGTGTTTACACTGAGTAAACAGTGGCAGGTTTGGTGAACTGATGACCTTCACAGCCAATCACAGTCATTTCTCCTGAGCAGTGTTGAAGAACGTGCTTAACAGCGCTCAAATGTTCACAAAAAATGGACGTTTTTAAAATTTTAGTACAGATTGGTAGCGAATTCCAGTATTGTGACAACTCTACATGCAATACATGAATTGGGCTAATAAATAATTAATAGCCAAGTAAAACCTCCAGTTAAAAGTTGAATAATCCATGGTGTCCATTTCGAGAATAGTGCCTTTTTTTAGCATATATATCTGTCCTCTATGAAAACCGGGTTTTCTTTCTTGAAAAAAATGGCTGTTAAAAACTCTGATGTGTGCTGTAACAATGTGGTGAGCACAAAAATGAAAGGTAAATTACATTCATTAAGGAGGCGAACTTGAAGGTTATTCAATGTTACCAGGAAAAACAAGACCTCTAGCCTATTATAATAGACGGGGGAAGTAAAAACTCATATAAATTGTAAGAGAATTTCACTGTCAAATATAATCCTCACAATAATCAGTCTGTAAAATAAACAGCGCAGTTCATACCCTGCCCTAAAAACAGGCATCAGAAAGGTCGGGATATACTCCAGATGTAAACAATATGCCGTTGTTTCGGAAATTGTGTTTTTGGAGCCCTGTTGCTGCCACGATGCATACGCATAATGATACATTTACTGAGAGTTAACATCTGTAAACAGCATTCTTGAATACGAAGACAGCCAAGAGAATGGAGATAGAGAGCAGTAGGGTGTGGTTATATATTTTAAAGACAGTAACTGATCTCTCATTGGCTGTGGGAACAACACCTCTCCGTTTTTTTTTCAATGAGGTTGTACGAACACAGACCCTTATATAAGCCCAAAAGCCACATCAAAGCCACATAATCAGACTGCAAGCTCAACACCAGGAAAAAGTACAAGAGATGTGGTTTCTGGCACTCATCTCGAAATCAATGGACTGCTGGAGTGTTGATCTGTCCATCACAGACTGTTGAGCTTTACATGGACATCATGTAGGAAAGGGCCGGGGCTTCGCTGCAGCCTTTCAGTCATTGTACCCTGAACCAGGGAGTTCATTGGTTAACGTGTGCCAGCGTTCGATTTTCTTGTCCTTGTTTTTCAGACAGTCAAACCAGTGTTTTAGCCTCTCGCCGCTGGCATTTATACCTAAAGACACTCCACCTGGAAGGGGGGAAAGTTCATTAAATCAATCAATGGTCAGTCATTCCCTATAAAACTTGAATATATAGTTGATAAAACCATCACTTACATTGAGTACATTTACATGGACACCAATACTCGATTTGAATTAGATTAAGACAATAATCTGATTAAGAGTCTACCATGTAAACAGCCATTTTTGATTACCTTAATCCGAGTAAAGTCATAATAAAACTAAACAGAAAGGGAATTAAGACATGTGGAGGGATCCTATGTTAGTTGCATTATTGAAGTGCAGTACAGACATGTAAACACCACAAACTATTACCCTCATGAGGGACTTTTCGACACATTTTGCAACTACATATTCGATATAAACAGGATTGTTTGACACTATTCTCTGCAGGGTAGGACTGGCCATCTGGCAGACTGGGCAGTTTCCCGCTGGGCTGACGTACTTTTTGGGCCAGGCAGATTATCTTCTTATGATCTGATCGGCCCATAAAACACTTAGCAGGCTCTTGTGTTTTTCTTGCTAATTAATTGACGATTCTGTGATCTGTGACGCTGTAAAAGTAAGATGTTTCTTTTCCGGACAGACCAGCTAATGCAAAATAATCTGCAGCCCATTGGTTCTTTTCTTTACTGACATTGGGCTGAACCAATCACAAACTTCCATTTTGGGCTCTGTGTAAGAGTGCAACGTCGGTGTGTGTTTGTCAAAATAGTCAAGAGTCACGTCTGTTTCCCACCTCATGCGTGCGGGAGAGCAGAAGCGGCGAGCAGACGTTTGCCTTTTGTGTCTGCAGCGCGCAGCGGAGCACAGATCAATGTATTCCTGTCTATTCTATCTAGTTACCTATCTGTCTATAGCACAGGTGTCAAACTCAGTTCCAAAAGGGCCGCAGCTCTGCACAGTTTAGTTCCAACCCTAATTAAACACACCTGATCAAACTAATTGAGTCCTTCAGGCTTGTTTGAAACCTACAGGTAAGTGTGTTGGAGCAGGGTTGGAACTAAACTGTGCAGGGCTTCGGCCCTCCAGGAATTGAGTTTGACACCCCTGGTCTATATAAATATCCTTTTTTTTTTACTTTTCATCTGCACCAAGGCCCGCGACAACTTCCTCCTATGCTGTTTCCTTAACCTGCAAGTCTTTATTTTACAAATAATAAAGAATATATGCTTCTCAAGCTCTATGAGGAGTGTCAGTCATGTATTTTAAGATGCACTCGGTCAGAAGACAATCGCATGAGATATCATAACATTTTGTTTTTGATCATCACCATGATGTAGGCTTATAGTTAGAATAATATTTATACAATATGGTTATAATGACATTTTTACATGACCAAACTAGTGTGTAACTTAAGCAAAACTAATGCTATTGTAGTTCTGCCCAAACAAATATTTGTTGCATTTTTTTATTAAGTTCATTTGATTGACTATGTACGATCTTTAATCTATGTTTGATGTTTCATTGTTGAGTTAAACATTTTTAAGGGTCTCTGACAAATTGCTTTTATTATTTATCTTTATTTTATTAATCAACACTAACTGTGTGCATCAGCAGGCAGTTTTTGTTAAGTTCATTATTTAATATAGGTTTCCTCAAAACACACAGGCACATACAAGATGGACTTCCAGTGTGGATTATAATTTTATTTTAATCATAAATTAAAATTTTTACGTTTTTAATTTGTCAACTCTCATTATTTCCTATATATGGCTTCTGTGCTTTTATAGAATGGGAGTTGGTAAACATATTCAAGGGCGTGCACAGATGGGGAGCATTTTGATTGATGTAGTGGGCCGATTCTTTTGTCCCAGTCCAGCCCTGATTCTCTGCACCTATCAAGTCAGTAAAGTACAACAGACACCTGCATCGTGAAATGCAGAGTTTTTTTCTTTCCATTTGGTGTGCAGTATCAAATTCCATTAAAACAACACTCCTCCACCAGTTCTTACCTCATACTCGCATCCAATGCCTCAGTTTGTCACGAGGGCATGGATGAAATGTTCCTGAATGAAAGTGAAACTGCTGTACTGCAGTTAAACATGAAAAATCAAAAATGAATCACTTGAAATTACTTGAAACTCCAGAGGAAACATTGGTAGCATGGTGACGCAATAATGTTAAATGATCTATGCTATAACGTAAAATCAAGATCATGAAAGGAACGTTAGAAAAGCATCTGATGTAAACACCTTAATCATATTATTGTTTTATACATTTTCCTTTGGCTTAGTCTCTTTATTCATCAGGGGTCACCACAGCGGAATGAACCGCCAACTTATCCATCATATGTTTTACACAGCTGATGTTGTTCCAGCTGCAACCCAGTACTGGGAAACACCCACACACACTTATTCACACACATACACTACGGCCAATTTAGTTTATTAAATTCACCCATACCGCATGTCTTTAGACTGTAGGAATACTGGAGTCCCCGGAGGAAACACTCAGCAAATGGGGAAAACATGCAAATTCCACACAGAAATGCCAACTGGCCCATCCGGGACTTGAACCAGCTGCTGTGAGGCAGACCTTCTTGCTGTGAGGCAAAAGTGCTAACCACCGAACCATCGTGTTGCCCCTTGGTTTTTTTAGATTAAGGCAAATAACTAGATTACTGATGTCCATGTAAATGTAGTCATTGTTAGGACAGCACTGTATCCCCTGTATCTTTTCATACAAGGTTTTGTTAACTTAAAAGTTTGTGACATTTATTTGATTATTCTACTTGTCAGGTCTTAAAAAGGTTTCTTTAAAAGCCCCCCAAAAAGTCATGCTTTTATCAAATTTGAACACATTGCAAAAATGATTTTATCCTCAGTATTTTTGTTTCTCAATATATTTATTTACAGTTGAAGTCAGAATTATAAGCTCCCCTGAATTAATAGCTCCCTGTTTATTTTCTCCAACAATTTCTGTTTAACGGAGAGAAGATATTTTTCAACACATAATAACATAATAACATTCCTAATAACTGATTCATTTTATCTTTGCCATGATGACAGTAAATAACGTTGTACTAGATATTTTTCAAGACACTTCTATACAGCTTAAAGTGACATTTAAAGGCTTAACTAATTAGGTTAACTAGGCAGGTCCATTTTTGGAGCCCACTTGCACATATTTGTTCTTATTTTATTCATAATCTTACTTCATGTTTATATTTTCAAACAAAGCAGGATTATGTTAGTTTCCCCCCCACCCCCACCCCCCCAAGTAAATGTATCTTGATTTTTATGAATCTTTTGATTGACATTTGCACTGGAAAACTACAGATGCTGACAAATGACAAATAATCTTGCAGTGTGCAGAAAGTACACTAAAAGATATTTCCAAATTCCAGTGTTTGGACGCTGATTTATTAAAACCTTTGGTCCCACTTTTTATTAAGTGGCCTAACTAATATGTACTTAAACTGAAATTAATCATTTGTTACAATGTACATGTTGTGTAAATAAATGTTTTTACATTGTATTAATAATTGATTAAATACATGCAAGTAATTACATCTGTAATTCATTTACACGGTTAAATATCCTAAATTAAATAAACCTACCCATAGCAGCAAACCTGTCCCTAACCCTACCTGCATTCCACCTCAAGAGCACCAGAAGTGTTCTGCAATACATTATGAACAAAGTACTTTGTATTTATTTTTTGATGCAAGTACATAGTAAACAAGGCCCCTTAATATAAAGTTGGACCAAACAATTTGTAGTCTCTTTTGTTAATTGAATTTTAAGTGTTTAGTGATACTTTAGGCAAATAGAAATCTGAAATCTTTACTTCTACTAAAACCTTTAAATGGTTTTACATTGTAAACTGAGATAACCTTTAGTTACATTTATTCAATAACAAAATTTAAGAACACAAACTGTGATGATGACAAATAAAGCATAAAAATATACAATAATATAAAATTGTAAAAAAATAAAATATTTTAACAAGATTCATAAATAGTCCTTACCAATGAAATCATTGGATTTGCCGATGTCATAGTCCCAGACTGTCACCTCCAGGGTCTTTTTGCTGAGGTCAGCATACTTGATTTCATAGAAAAACTCCTATGATAGAGAGAACGGAATTAGCATGAACAAAAACGTACAGAATCTTTGAATCTCGGAATGGTAAGACTAATCTTACTTCATTGAATTCAGGGTTGAGAGTCTTCTTTTTGACAGCTGTCTTGTGCTTTGATTTTTTGTTCTCATCTGGCTTGAGATACCTGAAATACATAGGTGATATTAAAAGGAAGATAAACGTTGTTGATTACATCTGTTACTAAAAGAAACACTACACTTTTTTTTGGAAGTAGACTTAGGCCCAATCCCAATTCTACCCCTTAGCCCTTCCCCTTACCCCAAAAGTATCTGGATGCAGCCTTTATGATGCAAGTTGAGATTGCAGCACTCAGCGATGCAATGTCAGACACAATGCACTCAATGGCGTGAGTGACGTAACTGTGACGGGTGGGGTTAGAAGTGGGGTTAGGTGAGTGCATTAAAAAGCATTGGATGCAGCTCAAATTGCTCTGCAACCAGACCCCTCTCCCTTACCCCTTGTTTTGTGCAGTACCATAAAGGGGTAGGGGTTTCTAAGGGTGCTTTCACACCTGTGAATCGATTCAGTTGTTCCGAAACAGAGATTACAATTGTTACATTGTTGCTCTTTGCTCTTGGAGCGGTTCGCTTTCACACTGCAAAGTTTCTAAACGGACCAAAAGAGCTAAAACATGTCACATGCGAGTAAACTCTCCTCACATTGGTCAGAGTGTTAGGGTTTATTTTGCAGCGTCCCGCTCAGCTGTCAGGAGAGGTGGTGGTTTGGTGGTGATTGACAGGGTGCGCGCGCGACATGTCTGAGGAGAGACGCGGTGGGGAGGGGTGAGAAGGGTGCGCGACGATGCCTATTTGAGGACCGGGAGGGAGACGCGAGATTACCGGGAGATCATCACTCGTTTGCGGGCATCTGGAGACTCGCAAAACTTCCCGCCCTACTCATAATTCTCTCTTCATATAGCCTTAAGCCTATTACATATCCATAAAACACTGTGATATAACCGCGCTCGGATCGGATCGCTTTCTCACTGCAATCGAACCGCTCCAGGGTTCGATTCAATCGAGCGGAGACCACCTCATTCAAGCGATCTCGGAGCGATTACTTTGGCGCGGAACAGATTGCCCTGTTCACATATGCCAAACGAACCGCGCTAACTGGGCAAACGAGATACGTTCCGAAACAAAAGTGTAGGTGTGAAAGCACCCTAATTCTCTTTAGCTTGAAGGTGTAGGGCTTAGGGGAAGGGGTACGGAACCCCGGAAGGGACGTAGTGGAGGAGAAAAAAATTGGTTGGGTGAAAAAAAAAAAATGAGTGAAAGAAAAAAATGGGTAGGAGGAAAATATATATTTCTAAGTTTTTGCGTTCTCTCGCAAAGTTTTGCGTTCCCTCGCAAAGATGTTTTGCGTTCCCTCGCAAAGATGTTTTACGTTCTCTCGCAAAAACTGTTTCTCCACAAACACTTCCTGTTCACTTCACTCATGTAAACCCTCCCGTTTTTGCTGAAATTCTCCCGTATTTTACCATTCTATCCCACTTTCTTTACATTACTGTGCGTCGATCGTCGCCTTTCATATGCTACCTCTGAACCAGTGAATGCATGTATAAGCGCTGACTGACAGACGCGCTCCATACAATAAACTGATTCTAGATCAGCGTCTGCACGCGCCTTTTACAGAGGAGCGGGTGTATGTTTAAACTGACAAATACACTGAATAATATGTAAACATCTCCGTCCTGCATGTTTTATTGTAAACAGCTTTTTTTCTCTTAAATGAGCACAAACAGTTTCTAAAGTAATGGACTGCTTTCATTATTGATCTGTGCATTCTTACAGAGACACCTCTGTTATCAAACTAAACAAAACATGAGATTCATTGCTGCTCACTTGTTTGATAACAGAAGTGTCCCTTTAAATGGCGCGTACAGACGCTGATCTGGGATCAGTTTATTGTACGGAGCGCGTCTGTCAGTCAGCGCTTATACATGCATTCGCTGTTTTAGAGGTTGCAAAGTGAAAGGCAACGATCAACGCACAGATTTAATGTAAAAAAAGTGGGATAGAATGGTAAAATACGGGAGAATTTCGGCAAAACGGGAGGGTTTACATGAGTGAAGTGGACAGGAAGTGTTTGTGGAGAAACAGTTTTGCGAGGGAACGCAAAACATCTTTGCGAGGGAATGCAAAACTTTGCGAGAGAACGCAAAAACCTAGAAATATATATTTTCCTCCCACCCATTTTTTTCTTTCACCCATTATTTTTTTTTTCACCCAGACAAATTTTTTCTCCTCCACTACATCCCTTCCGGGGTTCCGTAAAGGGGTGAATAGCCCTTCGAACAAAGATTTTTCAGGACCACACCCGAAACCCAGGTGTAAGAAAGTTTCCCAGAATACAACAGCAGGATAGTTACACCCGGAAGGAGATCCACAAATTAGTATTTTTGTCATTATTACAAATTTTTACAACAAACAAACACTTTTTAATACATTCATAACTGCGTTTGTGTTTTACCGTCATGCTTAAAAAAAAAAGTAAAAATAAAAATCGCTAAATTTCGCGATCTCCATATTCATAACCACAACATTCTGACAATCGAATACCCTGTCAGAAAAGTCTAGTGGCTGGGATCACTGGCGAGACCAGCCGTGATCAAACAAATCATGTTCATTTAGTTTAGCTTAGCATAATTCATTGAATTGGATTAGACCTTTAGCATGTCTATCAAAAAAATAATAAAGTGTTTTAATATTTTTTAAGCTTGAATCTTCTGTAGTTACATCCAGTCAGACAGAAACTTAAAAGCTGCTATTTTCTGGGCCAATATAGGAACAATACTCTTACTCCAGCATAACTCATAACTTTGCTTCCATACTATGGCTGCAGCAGTCACAATGATATTGTAAAATCAAAGTATTTTTATTTAAAACTCAATTGTTTATTTAAAAAAAATGTTTACCTCTAGGTGTCTTCTAAAATGAGCCTATTTTGTAATTTTCTTTTAAGGTAAATTTGTCTTTCTTTCAGGACTATTTTGATTTGTTCGTAATTCTGAAATACATAGACTTATACAAAGCCTTATGCACAGGCAACACAATTTGAGCACATATAAAGAATGCATTGTGGTGTGCAACAAATCATTATGGCCACTAGAGGGCATTGCAGCTCTTGTAAATGAAATCAGGAAAGCTGAAAGAAAAACTCATGCATACACGAGGCTCACTGCAGGATATATCCACCATATGCTCTGGAAGCTTACTTCAATAATGAAAGGATCATGTAAAAAAAAAAAAAAAAAAGAAATGACACAAAAAGAGATTAAACTCAACCTGACTTGTCTGCTGACTTTGAGGTCATTAAATGTCTCTTTCGGGCTGTAGTTTAGTAACACCTTTTAATGAGAGTCCCTTGCTCTTTTACCATGACCACCAGACGAGCAGACGGCCAAAAAGACTGATTAGAGAAGATTCAGCCTAATAATCTCAACCTGTGCCTTATATTGTTAAGCTAATAATGCTAACTCAATTGAGCATTTATGTAAAATCAAGAAATCAAAGAGAATTCATTCAATTGTAATAAAAACATCAATAAATCAAGGCTTAATCTTGTTCAAGGCAGAACAGAAATGACACATTTAAAGTAAAAGTGAAACTTGTGAAAGGCTTATAAACGTCTCCCTGGAGCTCTCTCGACAGGGAATGACATTTGCTCCTGTAATGGTGCTTCTGGACAACCGTTTTATTTCTTTTCTTGTGACTACATCCATCTGCAGTTTAAAATGATTTTCTCCATTTCGAAAAAGGAAAACTATTACTTTTCGATACAGAGTACATTTTGTTTTTGTTCCCTGAAAAAGACTGAACATCAACTGGTTTTCAATATGGGAAAAGTGCTCTTCGTATACACTCACCGGCCACTTTATTAGGTACATCTGTCCAACTGCTCGTTAACGCAAATTTCTAATCAGCCAATCACATGGCGGCAACTCAATGCATTCAGGCATGTAGACATGATCAAGATGATCTGCTGCAGTTCAAACTGAGCATCAGAATGGGGAAGAAAGATAATTTAGGAGACTTTGAATGTGGCATGGTTGTTGGTGCCAGACAGCCAGTCTTAGTATTTCAGAAACTGTTGATCTACTGGAATTTTCATGCACTGCCATCTCTAGGGTTTACAGAGAACAGTCTGAAAAAGACGAATTATCCAGTGAGTAGCAGTTCTGTGGGTGCAAATGCCTTGTTGATGCCAGAGGTCAGAGGAGAATGGCCAGACTGGTTTGAGCAACAGTAACTCAAATAACCACTCGTTACAACTGAGGTATGCAGAAGAGCATCTCTGAATGAACAACACGTCCAACCTTGAGGCAGATGGGCTACAGCAGCAGAAGACCACACTGGGTGCCACTCCTGTCAGCTAAGAACAGGAAACTAAGGCTACAACTAACACAGGCTCACCAAAAATAAAAAAATGGCCTCCACAGTCACCAGGTCTCAATCCAACAGAGCACCTTTAGGATGTGTTGGAACGGGAGATTCGCATCATGGATGTGCAGCTGACAAATCATGATGCTATCATGTCAATGTGGATCAAAATCTCAGAGGAATATTTCCAGTACTTTGCTGAATCTCTGCCATGAAGGATTAAGGCAGTCTTAAAGGCAATAGTGGGTCCAATCCAGTACTAGTAAGGTGTACCTAATAAAGTGACCGGTCAGTGTAGATGTGAAAAACAAGAATGATAATAGCAGATGGAGATGAAATAATGACACAAATGTGCAAGATTTGCACAGTTTGTCGTCACCAGCAGAAGTGACACATTAAAAATTTAGCACTCAGTGCTTTTGTAGAAATAGAACCAGAGTCTTTTAATTGACCAATGTTTGCGCATGTAAGAAACAAAACCACAGTGTCCGCAATAATCCCTCTATAAATAGTTGGATTTAAAAAGAGAGGGAGCTGAAAGCTGTAATCTCCTCTGTGTGCTGAAGCAGAGATCATTGCTATAAATTAGACAATGTCCATAAAATACGAACATTTCATCTTATCAGAATTCGCATGTATGGGAATCCAGCAGTGATGTAAATGATTTGGATGCTTGTGTTCAGCTAGGTCAGTTGGCATTGCTTTGTGGAGATTGCATGTTCTCCCTTTGTTTATGCGGGTTTTCTCCAGGCGCTCCGGTTTCCCCCACAGTCCAAAGACCTGTGGTATAGGTGAATTGAATGAACTAAATTAGCCATAGTGTATGCGTGCAAATGAAAGTGTGTTGATGTTTCCCAGTACTGGATTGCAGCTGGAAGGGCATCCGCTGTGTAAAACATATGCTGGATAAGTTGGCGGTTCATTCCACTGTGGCGACCCCAGATGAACAAAGGGACTAAGATGAAGGAAAATGAATGAATGTTTGTGTGGATGAATGGATGTGCTGAGGATTTCCTTTATACACACACACGCATACACACACACACGCGCACACACACACACACACACACACACACACACACACACACACACACACACACACACACACACACACACACACACACACACACACACACACACGCACATACATAGTTCCTGACTGTGGGTAATCATTTAGAAAATACTTTTATCCACAGTGATTTCGCAATCCATGTTTTCAGGAAAAATCCCTCGGGAGAAATCTGGGATTAAGTGCCTCGGCTCACTCCTGTGGCATTACTGATGCAGACCTGCATTCACCAGGATAATTCCCTCTCACATCAGCACCTTTAGCTCAACATGAACATGACATTTCTACATATCAGTTATTTAAATGTATGGTACTTATCTATTTTGAGTTATTCATCTGTACAGCAGTTATAGAAAAATGTGTTTTCCCCCCAGAAAATAACAAATTACTTTTTTCTGAATAACATGTTATGATTGAAAATCAGGATTACTCTTCTTAAAGGCACAATATGTAAATTATTTTCATTTAAAAACCACTGCAACATGTAAATGATGAGACACACCCTATATTTCTGTTAAGATTTTATAGAAAACAGTGAAATAGCAGAGATGCTTTAATATGTTGTGTGAGTTTTTAGACTGCAAATCGTTGGAAATACGTTTTGTTTTTAAAACTTTATTGTCTTTATCCTTAATGAAATAAGTGTATTTACTTATTTTTTGTCAAATAAAAGAAAGAAAAAGAATACAAAAAAAAACAGTATTGTAACAGAACTTTCAAAAGTATTTTATTAGTACGTAACAGTCTTGCTTCTTCTCCACATCATTATGAATCATAAGAGGTGGACTGTTTATAATAAAAGCTCTGCTGCTTTCGTGCCATGTTGCGCTTGCCTATTGTTTTATCGATCTTGTGTCACTTCAATGGCTTTCAATCTTACTCTGCTTGAAACTATCACGACAATAAGTTGTACAATACTTTAGCTCATCATAAACACGAGTTTTGCAGGAATCCTGTAGGATGTGAAAACTCACGTGATTCCACAAAGTCACGGCATCATAAAACTACTGTAAAACTACTTGCGCTCTCTCTGAAAATTTCATATGGTCCGTTTAACTCATCTGAAGTTAAAACATTGGTATTACATAAAAATAAATATGAACATGCTCTCATGTTATCATCTAAATAACCTTTTTACATTTTTTATTTAACATTTTTTAATAACTTTATCAGTAGTTTGCAGAGCAAAAATGAGGTTTTACTTAATTAATAGCTATAAATTGTAAAATTTATTACATTATTTTATGGATTTATTTTACATAATGTGTACATTTTCGAATGGAATGAACGATTTCTGACTGGCAATGTGTGCAGAACCCTTAGAGGAATAGTTGAATATTCAGTCAGCTTAAATTTTCCAGTGCTGTATATTCATTTTCTGTACAAAAAAAGGAAAAACATTCTCTACTTGCACTTTTAATATGTGCCTATAATAGTAGCAATAGTGACCAGCAGTTAGCAATTTTAAAAAAGAAGCAAAGCTATCAAAGAATGGCCTATTGGAACGCACAGTTTTCAGTGTATGTGATAGCATTTTGAAAAAAATGGGAAGTCGAAGTGAACTGCAACACTGATCAAGTTTCATGAAAGTGCATCAATGCAAAGGGAACTGGTCAAAGTCAGAATTTTATGACATTTAAAAAAAAGTTACGTGTTTCTCATCAAAACCATGTCACACACTATAAAAAGCTTGATGCTAGTTGCTATTCTGAATAACTTGCAACTTGCTATTATTGCTATTATTTGAAAGACAGCATTCTTTTCTTTGTGTCCATAAAATAAATAAGGATATACACATTAGAACACCAATTTGAAAACCTGCTGACTTAACTGTTTTTTGGGTCAATTTTTCTTTTAAACAGAGCTTCCGTATTCTATCTTCCTCCATTTCTGAGTGCAATAGTCCAGTAATTCAGTTAAAACAGCAAAGTCACACTTTTTTAAAAACACAGAAAATATGTAACGTCTCTTACTAATCACATATATTCCTCGACAGCCTGATCTCACGAGAAAACGTAAGTATTTTACGTTTTGCCAGTTTAGTGGCTAATTCGTATGAATTCGTACGAGTTCAGTCGTACGAAATGGTACGATTTTAAAAAGGAGGCGTGGCACCTGACCCCACCCCTAACCCCAACCGTCATTGGGGGATAAGCAAATCGTACTAAATTGTACGAATTAGATCGTACGAATTCATATGAATTAGCCACTAAATTAAAAAGTTATGAATTGCCGTGAGATTGTGTTGTCCTCGATGGTGCACTTAGTCATGGAATATGTGTTGGACATTATTTGTACTTTTTACAAAAATTGTGATTTACACACTTACTGTATATGCAAGTATCTTAAAGGGGACCTATTATGTTAAAATCGCTCTTATAAGGGGCTTAAACCTTGTGCAATAGTGTGTGAATATAACCAGCTTCTAATGGTACAAATGTTAATGATTTTCTTAACCACACTTCATAAAAAGAGTTTGTAAACTCTTTTATTGACAATCTCCCTTTGATTAAAATTCATTAGCATAAACTGCCCTGAGTGAGAAGCAACCCTCTGCTATTAGAGTTTTGAGTCTGCTCTGTGGCTCCGTCCTCTTTCAAAAAGTGGCTGGGAGGCCAATCTCATTTGAATTTAAAGCGGAAGTCACCAAAAGGCACAACTTAATTCAAAACCTAAAAGGGGCATTTTCAAAGAGTTTTGTGGTGTATTGTGAGCTGAAAGTTCACATACACAGTCAAGGGACATCAGATCGCTTTTAAGTACCACATTAAATTTTTTCACTAGGGCAAACCAATTTTATCATGTAGTACTTTTGCACATGTACAGCAGTTTTAGGCCCGATCCCAATTCTATTTTTGTACCCCTATCCCTTCCCCTTGGCCCTTACAACTGAGGGTTAAGGGGAAGGGCTTTAAAATTTACCCCTAAGAATTGGGACAGCACTACATCACCTGCACACGTCATTATATGTCCTCGCAATCTGATGCTTGATGTGAGATCAGATGATCGCGACTGCTGTAGTTATTCCAGTTGTTTTTTATTGGTATTTATTTTCAGGAGATCACTAAAGGCATATACTATGTTATCATAACGATCCAATGTGGCAATAAGATAATAAGTGTACTTGTTTGTTTGTCTTAAAAATTCGTATTAATGACAAATAATACTAATTTGTTGATCTCATTATTTCCGGCTTCAGCATTACTGCCTTTTGTGGCAGGTGTATTTTGGGAAATTTTCATTCCCCTTGGTTTCAAGTGTGGTCCTAAAAAAATATTCGTTCGAAGGGCTATTCACCCCTTCCTCTTAGCCCTACGCCTTCAAGCTAAAGAGAATTGGGACACCCCTACCCCTTGGCGTGCACACACAAAACGAGGGGTAGGGGTAAGGGGAAGGGCGAAGGGGTAGAATTGGGATTAGGCCTTACCATGCTATTGGTGAAGAGAAACAAAAAACAAGCGTAATTTGTAAAAAAAAAATTCAGTGAAAGGTAGTTAAGATTACTTACGTTTTAACATAAGGGTCAGAGAAGCCATTGGCATCCATGGCAGCAAGATGGGCACAGCGGATGATGCCCACCACTAAACCAGACTTCTGAGAGCTGTACTTCAGAGAGATCATGATGCGCCCTCTCTCCTCCAGAGACTTGTCATCTGTCTTGTCAATCTGTGTGTCGACACATAAATAGAAATCACTGCTGTCAGTTCAGCTTCTCAGAACCATACAGAAAAGGATGCATGAAGTCTATAGATTATTGGATAAATATGTTTAAAATGGGACCATTTATGCAAAAATCTCTTTTATAAGAGGTTTAATCAGTTGTTTGGCAACAGTCTGTGAATATAAACAGCTTCTAATAGTAACAAAAAAAATTAAAATAATAATAATAATATAATAATATATATAAACAGTTGAAGTCAGGATTATTAGCCCCCCTGAATTATTAGCGACCCTGTTTATTTTCCCCCCAATTTCTGTTTGATGGAGGGAAGATTGTTTCAGCACATTTCTAAGCATAATAGTTTTAAAAACCTATTTCTAATAACTGATTTATTTTATCTTTGCCATGATGACAGTAAATAATGTAATATTTATTTACTGTATTATATAATAATATTATATAATAAAAATATTATATAATATTATATAATAAAAATATTATATAATGATATTTTACTTGATATTTTTCAAGACACTTCTATACAGCTAAAAGTGACATTTAAAGGCTTAACTAGGTTAATAAGGTGAACTAGGCAGGTTAAAGTAATTAGGCAAGCTTTTCTATAACGATGGGTTGTTCTGTACACTATCGAAAAAAAAATTAGCTTAAAGGGGCTAATAATTTTGTCCCAAAAATAGTTTTAAAAAAATTAAAAATTGCTTTTATTCTAGCTGAAATAAAACAAATTAGACTTTTTCTATAAGACAAAATATTATCAGACATACTGTGAAAATTTCCTTGCTCTGTCAAACATCATTTGGGAAATATTTAAAAAAGAAAAAAAAAAATCAAAATTCTGACTTCAACTGTATATATATATATATATATATATATAAATTACATTTTTTATGATCATACTTTCTTAAAGCAGTCAGCAGAAACAGTTTGATTGACATTCTCCCTTTGTACATGTCATCAGAGAGGGAAAGCCCCACCCATCAGGGTCAATCTCTCCCTCATTGGCATAGTCTTGCTTTTGAATCTGCCACTATGCTGACACGTAGGCATTTGTAGCTCCTCCCTTTTTTTAAAAGAGGGCTAGGAGCACAATTACATTTGAATTTAAAGCGACAGTCACCAAAATGGCACAATTAGGATCAAAGAGTTATAAAAACAGAGTTATAAAACATTATTTGTGTGGTATTTTGAGCTGAAACTTCACATGTACATCAGAGACTTATTTTACATCTTGTTAAAAGGGGCATAATAGTATGGAGACAGAAAAGACTCAAAAGTAATCCATGCAAAAGACACAATGTACACATGCGTAGCCAAATTCACGTGCATAAAGCCAAATTCATATGTGCAAAATTTTGATTTATATTCAAAAAAACAATTCACACGCACAAAATAAAAATACATATTCATAAAATACGTTTCACAAAGGCAAAACACCATTTGCAAATGTATAAAAGTGTAAAAAAAAGTTTTGGTAACACTTTATAATAACTACACATTATAAATCATTCAATAAGCATTAGCATCCAGTAAATTCATTATTTGTTAAGCATTAACTCTACATTAATAAATGTTAGTAAGCAGTTTATAACTGCTGCTACAAATGATGTATTCTTGACTTATTACCACCTATATAATGTGCTTGTCCTCCAGAATTAATAACAAAAGAAGAAAAAATAGAGTGGGAGAATTTAGCTGACGCGGTTAACGCGGTGGGGTCTGAACATCGCACTGTGAACGAATTCAAAAAGAAATTGTCCCATGTAAAGGTGCAGGTTTAAGAGGAGAACAGTGGGGCACCGTCAAAGTGTGGCTGAACAGTCAGGGGAATGGAGGATGCTGAACTAACACCCGTTGAGGAGAGAGTTGCCTCGATTGTGGGCTACACTTTACTGTCTGTAGTAGTATCCGTGTCTGTGGGAGACACAGATGATTAGAGGAACACTTGGTAAGGCCGGTATTGCAGCACTCCTCCGTCCTTATCAAGGCAGCTTCACCGGTATTTCAGCTCACCCGCTCTACAACTGACAAAGTGCGAGAATGGGCATGATTGTGTCTGCGCTCTTGGTCAGTTTGTTGGTTGTTGAGGGGGGTTAACAACCACGTCTTTAATGGATAACTGTGGTGTCCTGATATGCAATTAAATAAAAAAAAAAAAAAAAAAACTTAGCTGGAATAATATCTTTACATACATCACTCACAAAGAAGCCACCCATCACGCACCCTGCCACCTTGGAGCCTTCTCGCTGTCTCTTTTTCCAAATTTGGATCCAACTCAGCACAGAGCTCCAAGAGGATAGCTCTTGGAAATCTGAAATGGCTAATAAGCCAGTCATCATCGTGGGCCAGAAAATCACTGTGATCTCTAAAAATGGGATCCCTAAAAAATTCGACCATTGATAATGTCCTCTAATAAGGCCAACACTGCCATTGCCATAGACTAAGGGTAATGATACATTTGCGAATGCTTTTATATGTTCTAAATCACATAACTGGTAAGAAAAATGGTGTCAATTAACCCATTTTATCAATTATAAATGAATAGCGATGTTTTTTAACATTTGTTGGTGCGATACTTTGTAGTGTGCAATTTAACATAATTGCCTCTAGGAGTCACCAATGGAAATAAAACAACACACACAAGAAACACACGTATGCCAGACAAAGTTGGTGCAGACCAATGCACATTATCACGTTAATTTCATTGTTAGTAAATCCAAACGTGAGAGAAACCTGGCGTACGCAAAGTTTTTGTGTGTACGCAGCATTAATGCATGAGGCCCTTGTAGAAGTCATGGAATTTTTGTAGTAAAAATGTGTATGAACCCCGAGCTATAGGAGAAACAGTGATTGAGCCAATTCAGGCGATGGAGAAGATTGAGAGGCCTTGATAGAGAGGGCCAATGAAGGGAATTTGGCTAGGACACCAGGGCTACACCCCTACTCTTTTACAAGAAGTGCCATTGGATTTTTAATGACCACAGAGACCTCGGTTTAACGTCTCATCCTAAAGACAGCGCCCACTGACAGTATAGCATCCCTTTAACTATACTGAGGCATTAGGACTTACACAAACCACAATTTGAGCGTCCCTTGCTGGCCTCACTAACACCTCTTCCAACAACAACCTAGTTTTTCTCATGTGGTCTCCCATCCAGGTACTGACCAGGCTCAGCCCTGCTTAGCCTCAGTGAGTAACCGGTCTTGGGCTCCAGGGTGATATGGCTGTTTAACATGGATATTGAAAAACGAAATGCACAACTAATAAGAATTAAAAGCATTATGATTAATAAATGTATAGCACTGCCATAATAATACAGTATAGGTGTTGTTGCGCATTCATAGATATATTAATAGAATTGCTATGCTCGATTATAAATATTTATAAACTCAAATATAATTAATTTTTAGCATGGACTAGGAAGTGTTACCGAAACACACTATTCATTTGTTGTAGTTTTATGCATTGTCAGCTCATAAATAGGAAGAAATATCTATTAAATCAAATGTTGTGTGCCCCGTCTGTAATTTATTCATTCGCTCACTTAGTTTCATGCACCACTCTCCTCTTCGTTCCAATGTTTTTTTTGTCTAGACATTTTATGGCAGTGCAGAACCAGAGCAGAGATCATCTCAACTGTTGAATGTGAGGTAAATCTGCTCTCTCTCTCTCTCTCTCTCTCTCTCTCATGCGCGCGCTCAGAACTTTGTGGAGCCACCAAAGCCGTCAAGCATGAAGTTAATTAGCTGTGGAGGAGGCGCCTCTACTCATCCCCCACACACTGCTGTCTCATTTCCGTCCCCACTGGAGATCACACACACACACACACGCTCGCATACACATTGCAGAGTCGCTTCACACAACAAACATGGTTCATACTGTTTACCAGCTGGTGGAGTCCGTCTCAAAGCTAAGAGCAGATCCCAAGTCAGTCTTTGTGTTGTACTTTTAACACCTCTTTTTGTACTGCAGTACTGAAAGCATATCCCAGATCAGTCTGTGAGCTGATCTTTCTGGTGGGTGACAGATAATTAATAGCAAGTGATGAATAGTGCTCCCCGACTTTTCAAAACATCTTAGAATTTCAGGGTTGGATTACATTAGGGTGTACTCACACTAGGCTATTCGAACCATGCTCAGACACGTTTTTTGGTTGGTTTGACACGTGTGAGTGTTCCTATTCACAACCAGGTTTGGTTGGCCAGTCCTGACCCAGTTGGAAGAGGTGTGCCAGAGCGCAGTTCAGTTAGGCTTTGGCCTGGTACGCTTTTGTAGTGCAAAGCACACCTGAGTGCAAAACTGAGGACCCGACATCACTTTTAAGGACTGTTTCATAAGGATTTGAAGAGTTCAGATGCAAAAACCTCTAAAGTCCTGTAGCTGTAAACATTGTGTCTGTTACTTGTTTTTTAAATTGTTACATAAAAATAACAGCAAAACTTTTTATGACATCTCTGCTCCACTGACAGACTAGGCAACTGGCACTTTGAAGGTCTAGAAAGGTTGTGAAAAAATTATTGAATCAACCCATGTGACAAGCACAATTTTATGAAGCCATGGAAATTTTTTATTTTTTTTTGGTCCCACTTTACATTGTGGCGTTAACTTATATGTACCTACAGACAACTGAACAATTTGTTACAATTTACTTATGGCACATTTCCACTGAGTGTTAGGGTGCTTTCACACCTACAATTTTGTTTCTGAACCTGTCTCGTTTGCCCAGTTACCGCGGTTCGTTTGGCATATGTGAAACCATCAATCGTGGAAGGATCCGCGCCAAATCAATCGCTCCGAGATCGCCTGAATGAGGTGGTCTCAGCTCGATTTAAACAAACTCTAGAGCAGATTGATTGCAGTGAGAAAGCGATACGACCCGAGCGCTGTTATATCAGTTTTTTAAGGATATGTAATAGCCATACGGCTATATGAAGACAAAATTATGAGTAGAACGGGACGTTTCGGTAGTCTCCCGGATGCCCGCAA